GAGAATGAGAAAATTAATTAAAAATTATATGTTATGGTTTTTTTTGGGGGGAAATTCCATTTATATGCAGTGGAATGGTTTGCTTACTCCCAAAATTAAACAGACAGAAATGAAAATTAGCAGCAATGCATTTGAATATTATTTGAATTTATTCACTTCAAATGGAGCAAGAAAAAAAGTAAAGTGTTGTTTGTTTTGGAGTATTTACCCATTAATGTATGAATCAGGTAATTGATATTTGAGCCTGAGAATCTATAACATTCATATCGATCCCTTAACAGCGGAAGCACCTTTGAGTTCTAACATGTTGGCAGTCTGTAACTACAGAAGGCCATTTTCCTCCCTCATTCAGTAGTAAAAGAGTGGACTTTTGCCTGGAGGAAGTTATTCTGCAGTCTTCACGGCTGCCCACCCATGTGCTGCAGTAAATGCTAATGTTTCCGAACACCTGCAATGTAAATTCTCTTTGGTGTCTGTAACGTTCTAGAGAACACTGTCCCTGTTTGATACTTTCTCCACGCCCCCCGGATGCTGTGATCAAAGGGGGTAAAAGTTCAATATGAAGTTCCTATGCTTAAGGAGAACACGTTCCTTTTTAACTTCTAAGCATAGAGAGCTTTGTGCAAACACTGGGCCAGGATGTGTTCCTTAGAAAAACGGAGTAAACAGAGCTGCAGTTATATTTTAGGCTGGTTGGAAGCATACCTCTCCCCTGACCAACTGTGAATTCTAATTACCCTAGTCTGCCTATCCCTCACCCTAGGGAGAGTTTTCTTACCCCTTTTCTGTTTTATCTTGGGGAAGGTCCCATTGTCTCATTGAACTCTGCTGCATCCTGTTTATATCACAAAGAGAAAAGCTCCAGCTGCCTCCCTCCCCACCTTTCTCCACCTGGAGATAATAAGTCCCTTGGCAGCCACATTCTCTGTAATCATATGAGGTCATCTTACGGGCTACCAAGAAAGAGCCATTTGTTGAGTGCCCGCTTTGTGACAGGCATTTGCTGATAGTGTTCTGTGTCTTGCCTCATTTAAATCTCAGGAGGGAGGATAAATGAAACAGAAAGTGCTCCTTCCACCAATTGCCAAAGGAAGTGGCTGGCCACTGCGGTAGCTTGAACTTTAGGTATAATAGTCCCAGATGGAGTTCCAGAGACAGCTCTGGGTGCAGAAACTGCCTGGAGACAAATACTTTAGAAAGCATATTTATAGGCACAAAGCAAAAACGTTTCAAAGCTAGTTTGGTGGGTATTGTAAGCAGAGGTCTAAACTGGTTTTCAGAATGACATGGGAAGGTGGGTTCTCTGAGTTGCCGATCACATGCCATGGGCTTTGTGCTCCACACCATTCAGATGACTGGCAGATTCACTCCCTCCCCGAGCCTTTGTCAGCAGGCTGAAGAGGACCTTGCGTCTTTCATTTTAAAGTGAACACTTCTGTGGGCTGAATTTCCTTCCACATTTGAAAAAAAAAAGTTCTAATTCTAAGGCATAGTTCTACAATGTTGCCTGATTGAATGTAGCACGTTATGTCATATTTCTAACATTTTTCAGCTTCTGAAATTCTGCAAAATTCTTGGTCCCATGTCTTTAGGTTAAGCTTAAAAACAGTTAACTCAATTTACTTCCTTTTATTTGTGCTTTTGGTGTTTGTCCTATGAGGCCAACTTTTCCTTTTTGATTATTTGTTGAATCTTTTTAAAAAAAATTTCTTTATTGATTAAGGTATTACATATGTGTCCTTATTTCCCCATTGCCCACTTTCCCCAATGCATGCCCTTACCTCCTGTTATCTGTGTCCGTTGATTAGGTTGATATGCATGCATATAAGTCCTTCGGTTGATCTATTCCTTGAGTCTTGACATGATGAAGAGACTGTTGTTACCTAATTAACAAATGGCACTGGCTGCTTTCTGATGGGACTCCTCCCTAAAACCTAATTGTTAGCAGTGCATATACCTCTAACGTTAGAGAGAGAGCGAGCTAGTTTTAGAAGCAGGGTGACCAGGGCAGACAAAGCCCATAGTTCCTAGACAGTTGGATTCCTGCTGGCCGGGAAATATGGGAGGCTTGTCGGGGCTCCACCCCTGCTGGTATCAGTGCCTGTATCTGCATATTTTCTAAGATGTTTCAAGGCAATGGAGATTGCATCTGCTGCTCACTGCCATGCTGTTTCATGGTATTGGGGAATTTTATACAAACACTGTGAACCCAAAGGGCTGATACTTGTTTGGGAATTGGGCACTTTGGGTTCGTATTCAACCCTACTTTCTGTTGCTCTGTGCTGAGAGCTGTTAGGGTTTAGTCATCTCTTAATCTTAGCGAAGCTATTGCTGGACTAATGAAGCAATATTAATAGTAATACCTCACATTTGTAAGAGGGCTTTAACATTCACAGGGTCAGTACTTCCACACAGATTATCTTTTGGGTGTATCTCAGCAGCCCTTCGAATGAGGCACGACAGGTATTATTCACTGCATTACCCAATAAATTGAAAATCAGACAAAATATCTGACTAGCTCAAGACCAGTTGATTTCCCCCCCTGTTTTCTAAAAGAGGCAGAGAGAACTAAACACACACACACACACCACCACCACCACCACCACCACCACCACCACTGCCATCAACTAAGCAAATTTACAGAAGTCTGTATGCCTTTCGTTCCCTCCTGTCCACCAAAATAGTCCTACCATAGTGGTGAAGCAGATTGGTCATTCACTGTAACATGAAAAGCGCTGCCACCTGTGGGGTTTGCTGACGAGGACCTTCACATAAGGCCCTGCACATAGAAAGGGCTTTTGAGATCGAAGGCTTTGTAGCTCAGACAAAGTGGGTGGAAACTTGTTCATTTTGGCCATTCTCATGTTCCCTCTCCTTCACAACTCCCCCCCCCCCACCACCTGACAGATTATTAAGCCTGTTGATTCTGATGTTTTCTTTGAAATCGGCTATTACCATCCAGCCCAATTTCAGATCCTCCCTGTCTCTCAGCATGCTGGCTTTGTGCTGGTCTTCTCGCCAGTTTGCTCACATCACCTTTCACACGGTGTTTGAGATTTCCCGGGAGACAAAGCACATACTCTCCAGCCTGGCACGTGGCATTCTCCAGGCCCTGACTTCAGCAGACCACTACTTCTTCATTTCTCAGCCTGAGCCCTGGCCTCCCTGCAAGGTTAGAGCCATTCTTCTTCCCTGCCTTTGTTCCCACCTTGCCCCTTCCTTCAGAGCACTTGAACCCCTTTGGCAATGTGCTGAATTCCTATTGGTTCCTTGAAATTTGGCTTGTGTCTTCTCCTTTGGAAAAACTCCTTGGCCTGCTCTGGTGAGGTTGACCACATGCATCTTCATGCCCCACAGCACCTGCCCAGCGTTCCAGTTCAGGGTGAAACTGGAACACATGGTGGGGGCCTGTCTTACCCACTAGCCTGTGAGCTTTCTGAGGAGAGGGACTGAGTCTTAGCACCCAGCAACACCACCTGGCCAGGATGCCTGGCTTGGCAGGATGTGTGGCTTCACTTCACAACCACTTCAGCCTCAGTGATTGGGATCATGACGCATACCCTTGCTTAGCTAGCTACCCAAAGATACCACTAGTTAGGAGCACTTCTGGCGTGGGGTAGAGCTTAGGAAAAACACTTTCTCTGTCAAAGGAGCATTTCCTAACGAACTTGATTAAGAACTTGAAGTCCATGGCAAACCCAGTTTTTCTCTCTTCTTCTCATACATGAAAGGGGTCACAAGTGTAGACTGCAGATTAGAGTTTATTTCTACTTAAATAAGGCTTTGGGTTTTTGCGGCACCAAAACAATGTAGAGTTTGGTTACTTGCCTCATATAGGATAGTCAAAATAGCATGCATTAAATCAAGAGAACTTGTTTGGAGATATCTGCAAACAACCACTATATTTGTGCTTAAAAATTTGTATAGTTTCATTATAGAATACAGAATGTGGGAAATAATTTCTAGGGCTTTTATATTGCCGAGATAACAGTTCTTAGGTCTAGTTGTTTCACACACATGTTCCAAGTGGTGATTCTTGTGTCATATTGTATTTGTGATGGTCTCTCATCCTCCTTTTAGGAGTCCAAGGGTGCCTGTTTTCTGCTACTTATATAATATTTATACACTGACATCCATGATTTTTAAACTATAAAGTAATAATTAGTTTCTAAAGCCTGTTGTGTTTGTGTGTGTGTTGGGGGGAAGTGTCAACTAACAGAATTTAGCCATTTCTTCTGAATTTTAAAAATTCCTTAAAAATTTTACAGTCATATTTTTTATTATTTGTGCCATTATAGTAACAAAGAAGTGAGATTTAAAAATATATATATTAAAAAAAAAAAGAAAAACAGTTTTTGCCTTTTGACTTAGAGATATCACCAATGATGTCATTTCACTAGGTATCCTGTCCTGATGTTGAGTGGGAGTTAGGACTGTAATCTTGGTTTCAGTTTGTTTTTGTTTTGCTTTTCCCTCTGCCATAACACACTATGTCCCAGATTTTCATATTCACCCAGGTATGTGGAAACTTGGGGAATGGTGACTGAAATGTGGTTGTTGTAATTGTTTCTATTGTTTGCATCCCTTTGCTGTCAAAGACACATAAAATGAATAAGTGATTAATTGTGCAAGGTCACATAAGGCAGTCATGTCATTCTAACGTCATTCTATTCAATTTGTGAGACCACATGCCCCGTTATTATTAATAGTGCTTCTAATATTATGGTTACCTTGGTTTGATTTCTTTATAAATGACTCTAGCTAAAGTACCCTTTAAGAAACTTAAGGTAATGAAGAAGCGGGTATTTTCACAGTCTAAAAAGTTATTTGCACAGGTTGCTATAGAGGGAATTCAGGAGTTGGCTGGAGGATGGGCTACATGACCTTTAAATGTTCTTTACTCTCAGGGATTCCAAGATTCCAGTGCTTAGGCTAATGGAAACATGTAAGACATGCTGATCCTCTCAAGTGACATGGTTTTGTTTGTTGTTTTGTCACAGACTGCCTCTTTAAGGTGTGTCCTATGAACCGATATTCTGCCCAGAAACAATATTGGAAAGCTAAGCAAGCCAAACAAGGGAACCACACTGAGGCAGCCTTGCTGAAGAAATTACAGGTAAGAGCCAGGCTTCTATTTGTCTGGCTTAGGCTAGACCAGGTACAGCAGCAACAAAAAATCTATTTCCTAAGCTCGTGATTTCAGTCAGTCCACAGAGATTTAGAAGAGTAACAACACATTGAAGCTGGAAGGGACTTTTAAGTGATAGGGTGTGCCTACTGATTCCCTGGTGTGTAGGTAATACGTTCCTGCTGTTTTTTAGGGTGTGCCTGACAAATTCAGAGATTCACATCAAACTGGAAACCAGTTCAGAATCTCTGTAGGAATAGCAGATCCAGTTATATTTTACTTGGCACAGTACTTTATTATCATTTTTTTCTGAAAGATTGGAAAAAGAAAGTCTGGTGTTTCAGATTTGGCTGAGTACAAATTTGATAAGACTTAATTTGTGTCATTAAAATTTCTGTTACTTTCATCATTGAAACTATGTTTTGAGACTTTTGAAATTCATCTACTGTCCTGGTTTTTCTTGCCATATTCCTCTGAAAGTAATTATAAGACCACAGAGCCTCAGGCTTTTCTGAAATTTCCAACATAAAGACTTCCCAAGATATTTTTGGCCAAATTTCAGCATTAAATTGAGAGAATCATCACATTATATTATAATCATGTATTTAATTATTGTCACCCTATCCTGAGCCCCAGGAATAAAGCGGCCAACCTATTTTATTCATGGTTGCATCCTTTGTGCTCTTTGTTCCTAAAAAAAATAAATCAAAAAACAAAAAAACCCACCCTTATTTCTTTGTCAGTTATTGTATTCTGTTTGCTATGTTCTCACTCTGAATATCATTTTATAGCATGCTGCAGAATTGGAGCAAAAACAAAATGAATCAGAAAATAAGAAGCTGTTGGGAGAAATCGTGAAGTACAGTAACGTTATCCAAGTAAGTGTCGATTTACTTTCTCTTAGAAGAGGTGAACATTTTATGGATAATTTGCATTTGGTTGGGATACCAAATAGCATTAAAATTTTGGGGTACAATAGTTTGTTCTTTGGGGGTACTTACAGATGACGTGATATTTCAAGTTGACATTAAGCACACTATTCCAGGTGTTTAGTAATAAGTCTGCTATATACACATAAAGAAGTGAGCTTCTCTAGATGCATCCTCAAGTTACTGCATCCAAAAGAAAAAGCTAGGGAAACTTGTGAGAGAGGCACTAGGTCATGTAATAAAATAGCCCTTTAGTATTAATGGGGGCTAACGTGTAACCTATGAACCTTTATTATCTTTTCACTTTGTAGGAAAGTTTCAAATTGTACTTTTCGATGGAAATTGTCCTTGACTTGTTATTTAGAAGAGCTCCCATTTCAATTAGCGTGAACACTGTTTTATCGCAGCTGCATTCCTTTCTGGCGTTTCACTAGATTTATTAGCTTTTGACTTGGTTATTTGTTACTATATGCCCCACCTTGCTCCAAAAAGAATGTAAGGCATTTTAAGAAATACCACATAGAAATAAATAAAATAGAAATAAATAAGGAAACTGGGTCAAAGGGAAAATAAGAGTTGAATAAATTAGTGAAGTCAAGGGTGAGGCATGTTTATAAAAACCTGTTTGTCAAAGGATCCCTTACCCTTTGGGACAGCATGGATGGACCTGGAGAGTATGAGGCAAAGCAAAATAAGCCAGTCAGAGAAAGACAAATATCACATGATCTCATATGTGGATTCTAATGAACACAATAAACTGACCAATATAATAGATACAGAGACATGGCAGCATGGAACAGACTGATATATTTCAGAGGAAAGTGTCAGGGGAGGGGAAGAAATTAACTAAAGAACTTATATGCATAGCCCATGGATGTAGACAATAGTGCTGTCAAGGCGTGGGGTGGGGTGGGAGCTGGGTGGAGGGGGGAAAAGGAGGAAAACTGGGGGGACATCAGCAATATTATCAATAATAAAAAATACATTAAAAAAAGGAACAAAACAAAAAACTCAGGTGGGTCCAAAAGAAGTGGGATTGGCCCATGAGGGTTTTCATTGGTTTATGGTAAAACCAGAGGCTCAATGCACGAAATTTGTGCACGGGTAAGGTCCCTAGTGGCTGCTGGCTGCCAGCCGGGGACTTTCTTCATTCTGCACTGCCACCTGGTGGTCAGCACACATCATAGCGAGCAGTCAAACTCCCAGTTGGTCTATCTCCCTAGAGGGCAATTTGCATATTAGCCTTTTATTATATAGGATAAAAACCAACGATATTATAATGAGTTTTTAAAAAAGCTGATTTCTTTTTTAAGTTTAAGAATTGCCCTTGCCCTGGCCAGTGTGGTTCAGTTGGTGGAGTGTCATCCCATGTACCAAAAGGTTGCCCAATCCATTCCCATTCGGAGCACATGCCTGGGTTGTGGGCTCAATCTTCAATAGGGGGCATGCAGGAGGCAGGTGATCTATCTTCCTCCCTCCCTCCCTCTCTCCCTCCTTCCCTCCCTCCTTCCCTTTTGCCCCCCCTCCCCTCTTTTTCTCCCCTCCTCTTTCTCTAAAATTGACCCCCAAAAAATCTCACCAAAAAAAAAGGCTCTTTATTTTGAGATATTTTCCTTCTTATATTGTATTTAAATGACCATTTATTTTTGAAATGATTGTAATAATAGGAACTTTGTTTGTTTTAGTCTTCCTACTCAGTAAAATAATGTTTTGGAAAAATTTTGTTCATGCAATGCAAAAAAATCCAAGAAATGGCACTTCTGGGCTCATCAGAGAAGGGGTGGCTCAGCATCCGTAGAAGTTGTACAGCCCGTGTAGACTGCACCATCTACCTCCTGACAGATGAAGGAATGGGGATGTCTGTGTGCAGGGATGGTTATTCATACTAAGTGTGTCTGTACATTATTTTAGTTTTGTGGTTTCTCTGTAGTACGGTTTGTTTTTGTGGCTGTGCAGGAATGTGGTTTTGGGGAACTTCCAGGTCCCTTTGGAAAGCATGGTTTTATTTTATTATTTATAATGAGAGGAAAATCAGTCAGAGGTGTTTTCTGGTTTTCCTCATGTGCCCACTTCATTATGAAGCAGAGTGGGGGTGGAGGTGAGGAGGAATCCAAAGAAGTCAAGTTGGGAAGCTGGTGAGTTTGGAGTTTTTGTTTAATCTTTACCTTGTTAAGTGGGTGCATGATATGTGTACGAATGTATAAATGTATTTAACAGAGGAGATTGTAGAATGAGGTGGTAACCCATGTCTTCTCCCAACAGCTACTGCACATAAAGAGCAACAAGTACCTGACTGTCAACAAGAGGTTACCTGCTCTGCTGGAGAAGAACGCCATGCGCGTATCTTTGGACGCTGCAGGAAATGAAGGGTCTTGGTTTTACATTCACCCCTTCTGGAAGCTGAGAAGCGAGGGTGACAATGTAAGTACATATAAAATTAAGAGAATAACAGTGCATTCATAAAGACAATAATTCTTCATGAGAGAACCCATCAAGTAATAAGGAATTAAGAGTTCTCAATCTTCATCTATTATTTTGATATTCCTATCTTCAATAGGTTAAAAGCACTTATTTGTCGTACAAATTGTGCTCAGGAATTTTAAAAGGACAGAGTTTAAACTAATAGAATATAATCTTCCAATGCGAATTTGTGTCAGAGAACTTAAGTAACCTTAACGTTGGCTGTGTTTAGAAGAGAGAGATGGGGCTTGCTTTTCTGCCTAACAGGAGGGAGCCTGGCTATAAGGAAGCAGAACTCTGCCCAGCACAACGTGTTTGCTCCTTTGAATAATAGAGTAACACAGTGAACCATGGTGGTGTTTTGTTCCCTGGCTCTCTGGTCTACTGTTTACAGTCTATACATCTTAATAGACATGTAATGGATGCAGAGCTATAGCTTGGCACTTGCTCTTTGATGACATTTAACATACGTTGTGGAATATGTGTATATTGTTTCCTGTAAATTTTGTCAGTTGCTAAATTTTGTGCTGGTTTACAGAGTAGAGAAAATAAAAATTACCGGAAATGACTCAATAAGACCCACAGTAAGATATTTTTATGTGTAATAAAGTAGCGGGTGATAGTCCTTAGCACATAGGAGATGCTCAATACATGCTGATTGGTAGTCAATACTGAATACGTTTCCTAAATAGAATACCCCACAAATTTGGGGTCAGGTGATCAAGAAAAAAAATCATTGAGTTAAAAAAAAATTGTAAGTTCAGAACAGTATAAAAATGTAATTATTCTGATAGTTTTCTCAATTATATTTTAACTAGAGGCCTGGTGCACAAATTCGTGCATGGGTGGTGTTCCTTGGTCTGGCCAGTGATCGAGGCAAACTGGGGCCATTGCACCCCCAGGGCAGCTGGCTTGGGGGCGGGATCACAGGAGATTGGCCAGCTGGCCTCGGGGAGGGACGGTGGGAGGTTGGCTGTGGGCGTTGAGCATTTTCCCCCTGGTGATCAGTGTTGCATCAGCTACCTGCCAGTCATACTGGTAGCTTGGTCTTTTATATATATATATATAGATCGTGTTGGATATTTATTGTCTTAGAAATGTCTTCCTTTATAATGAATCTATTTTTCAGTGAATTTTGAAGTACAAAGTCTATTCCACAGGATGCAAGCTTCATGGTTTAATTTGTTAAAAATTATCTGGTGATGTCCTTCTAGGTAAGGTTCGGGTGCAGCATGGCATGAGAGATGTAATGCACTTTAAGTCTTGTGTTGATTCCTCAAGAAACAAGTCTTGCCTTTTCTTCTTCTTTTTTTCTTTTGGCATCAAGTGATGTGTGCTGTGAGCATGATATATATATTTTAATTTGAATAGGTAGTTAATTACAATCAACTCTCAATTATTCAGGGGCTGATTATGTTTATGAACAACTTATTCCTTTTCTTGTTTTGCTTGTCTTCCCCTGCCCTCTACCCAACCCCCCTCCAACTGCCTGAGTAGTGTCCCTGTCTTTAGGAGGCCCATGAAAATTAAATGTCAAAACAGACAAAACAGGAGCTCAAGCTCTGAAGGAATTCGATGAAATGATTGGATATAACAGGTGATTAGATTAGCTGAAGATTTAAAAAAAAATGCATTCTATCCTGTTTATTTATTTATTTATTTGTTCTATTTGTTCCTTCCTTGCTTCCAAGTGCCTTTCAAGGGTCAACAGAGAGTTGAATGTAATGAACTATTTGAAATCATTAGTTGTATTGTGGAAATAAAAAGAAGCCACCACCCAAACACTAGGTCTTGGTTAAAATGGACATGGCAATTGTTAGGTGCCATAGAAATCCTTTTGTACAGATGTGCTTCATAAAGCATGGCTGAAACAACCTCCCGCACTGCTGTCTGCTGAAATGGCTCACTGTTGTTGCTCACCACCGTGCAGCTTTTGTGTGTGATGGAGGATGCTGTGAAAGCATAAGCACAGCCACAACCCTGTATTTGCCATGTAAATAGTTGTATTGTAATGCTCATTTTCTTCCTTAGGAATAAGCAGCATTTTTTTCCCTAAAATATTACAGTATTTTATTGGAGGCAAATGCAAATACTGTCACTTCACAAGGAATGGCTTAATATTTACTGATTTAAAGAAACCATAATAAACTTAGAAGAGGAAATTGCAAGGTTCAAAGGACCTTTAAGATTATTATTATTATTTTTTTTACTATTTAGCAATTACTTTCAGGTTATAAGTATTCAACAAGATGTTTGGTTACTGAAATAAAACGCAAGAATGAGGTTGGGGAGAAAAATGCTTATATCTTCAAAAAGCAATGGTTTCTGTATCTTTGTCATATGTCTAAAGAATTGTGGGATAGTTTGGGGGGAAAATAGATTCATGGGTTTCTCAACTTCCGGCTTGAGAAATAGAAGCCCTTGCTTGCTGTTGAGTAGCTAGGAAGTCACTGGGGGAGGCCTTGAGCAGAGTACATAAATATTTTATTTTCATTCATCTTCCCATGATTGAATAGTCAGTTTTTTCATTTTCAACTTTGACCTAAGAAGACATTAGTTCTTTATCATGATGGTAGATTTTAAAAGTGAGAAAAGGATAGGCCTCTTTCAATCAAGAGAAAAATTCAACTCTTAGGGAAAGAGACTCTTCAAAAAGCAAGTAGGTTTTGCTATTTTGCAAAACTGGACTCCTTGAATTTATAGCAAAGGCAGGACTAAGACTGATGGTGTTATTTTCTACTGCAGGGTTCTTTCCCCGATACCAGGTGCCACTTCAAAAGAAGGGTAGCTGCTAGATGTATTAGAATATTCTTCATTTTCAGTAAAATCCCAGCTTGAATCTCACCTGGCTGTTAAGTAGAATCGATAGAAGTGCTTTTGGAATTGAAAATGTTTAGATGTTTGTGCACTAGAGCAAATGTGATGTGGCAGAAAATGTCTTTATCCTCAAGTCCTGTATTTAATAGATAGCTTTTCAGAAGGCAGCTGACTTCCATTGGTGGATCAGGCCCCAGGCTGCACTCTTCTGAGGATCTTTCCAAGGTCCATATTTACCAAGTTATCTAAGTAGGTGTGTATTCTTTGAGAGGAGGAACTATTTCTTACCGTCTTTTGTATTCTTCTATTCATCTCTTACTGTTCTTTTTCATTTCTTGTGATTGGCATACTGCTTGTTTCATTTGAAAGTCTTATTCAACTCTAAGTCTTAATCATTAGGAAACGACCTGGATATCAATGAATTAATGTTAGACTCTCTCTGTGGATACTGTTCTTATGAAACCTTAGAATTTGGAACATTTTGCTTATGTGGCTAGTCTCATTATGTAAGTTATTATAATATGTAAGTTGTGCCTGGCCGAGGTAGTTCAGTGGTTGTCAACCTATGAACCAGGAAGTCACAGTTCAATTCCTGGTCCAGGCATATGCCTGGGTTGTGGGTTCTATCCCTGCTTTCCAGGAGACAGCTGATCAATGATTCTTTCTCAACACTGATGTGTCTATTTCTCTATCCCTCTCCCTTCCTCTCTGAAATCAATAAGAATATATTTTTAAAATATGTAATATTTTAAAAAATGTGTGATATTTTAAAGTACATATAATATATGGATTGGCTCAAAGCTTCCAAACAACTATAGTAAAATAGTAAGACTTAGAGCAGTGAATATTAGTGCAACCAAAAGTATTCTTCTATTTGGAAGAACATAGCTAAAATATAGAATTACATTTAGCAACTTACTGGCTGATATTTACTTTGGTTCAGATAAGAATGACATAGTAAACCAGACCCAACTGTTATTTAAGAAACTGGAAAACCAGATGCAGCCTCGCCAGGCTGTGGTGTCAGTCCCACTGTTTATCGTAAGGAGGACTACTCAGCCTTGCATGTGGCTGAGACTTAGAGCTGCCTTGGTGTCATGTGCAATAATAAGTTGTGGTGTCTTTTTTTTGAGGATGTTGGGAATATGTTCATGTCATGTTGACTTCTGTATGTTCTTGTTTATATTTAATTTTAAGAAATACCAATTCATTTTTCAAAATTAAAGATACTATAAAGATATATTGTGAGCCTTGGCCGGTTTGGCTCAGTAGATAGTGTTGGCCTGCAGACTGAAGAGTCCCAGGTTTGATTCTGGTCAAGGGCATGTACCTTGGTGCAGGCACATCCCCAGTGGGGTGTGTGTGGGAGGTGGCTGATCGATGTTTCTCTATCCTTGATGATTCTCTATTGACTACCTATCCTCTCCCTTTCTCTCTGTAAAAAAAAAAATCAATAAAATATATTTAAAAAAAGATGTATTGTGAAACATCTTCTAGTCTTTTTACCGTCACCCCAGTTCCCACCCATCTCCCAGTTAGCCACTAGAAGGGTTTCTTATGCATATACTTTTACTCCCTTCCTTCTTTTTTGACACAAAAATAACCCAGCTCTGCCCCCTTTACCTCTCCCTCAGCACTGTTTCTTGATCTCTCCTTGTCTGTACATAGAGAGTTTCTATGATGGGGTCTCTGTGTCACATCATCCGACTGATGATGACTTGAAAGGCAGGGAGATGTTTAGGAGCTATTTCTGCAAACCAGGCTTCTCTGTCATATTTGAATCTCCAGATATGTGACCACAATACCATGTGTGAATGTGGATTCCTGTATATAATTCCTGTATATATATATAATTCCCATAAAATTTACATGAAAATGTGAAATTATATTTCTTAATATCTTGGTCTAGGTCTTGGTGTAGAACAGGGAGAAGTTATGTTTATTGTTGTCAAAGTCCTAATTTGTTTCTCAGTTGTCTATCAAATGTATTTCTTCTAATATTCAGTTGTTGTGAAATATGCATAGGGAAGGTATTTGTTTTCAATTCCCAGATGGTGAGCAATTCTATAAATGACAGTGTAGGTACTTCAGTAATAAGTCTTTAATGGAACTTAATGACAAAAGCAACTTCACTGTCTATAAAATCAAACTGTTCATTATCATAATTAAGAATGCATAACTTAATTTCTCCACATTTTGAGTTATAAATAAAAGTACTTAAAGATAAAGCAGATAATGATATCATAAATGAAAAAAAATCAACTTAGACTTCTGTAGAGCATTTTTCCCATAACCAATTTTAATTTTAATTTTAAATTGAACACCAGGATTAAGGAGCACTATTAGTTTGCTATGTTTAAGATAAAATTGAAGGAGATGCTTAAAGCCACAAACAGTACACATAGTTCTGTAATGTCGTTCCTAATGCTACATTTTCTGAACCCAGAAATATTAGGATGTTTAACAAATTTCTGAGATGATAGGTAGGGTCAAATTTAACAGGTCTGTCTTTGGTTCCAAAGATAATACAAATGCATAGCATTATCTACTTCTACTTGAAGTGATTCTACTATTTAGGCGGATAGGTTTTTGGGGCAGTTGCATTCATTGTCTCTATCTGCTGTGCTCATAGCATTAATACCTCATGGGGAGGAATAAATGACCTGTTATTAACGTTAAGAAAGCTCTCGTTGAAAGGGAAGACTGATAAGGAAAGGATCTACACTAGCTTTATGAGTTCAGACTGATGGGCACTATGGGACATGATTATCTGATCATTTATCAGAAGAATTTTACCTGAAAGAAAAAAAGAATTTAACGGAAGCTTGTACGGAAGATAAAGAGGCCAGGTGTTAAGTCAATAAAAAGGACTTTCATGGAGTTATGTTTAGCTTCAAATACAGACCGAAGATCCACGCAGTGTCTCAATGGCGACTTCTTTCTGATTCCTAGATTGTTGTTGGCGATAAAGTTGTTCTGATGCCTGTGAACGCAGGACAGCCACTGCATGCGAGCAACATAGAGCTTCTCGATAACCCAGGGTGCAAAGAGGTAAGTTCAGGAGGAAAACAAGTGAATTTGTTGATTTTTCTCATGAGAGAGAAAAAAAGGCATATAGTTCCTTGCATTGTTTTCATAAGCTTAAGTCTAGGGATGCTGATTAATACTCCTAAGGCTTAAATAGATAATGAGTAGTTATTATACTGCTATTTTCAGATGGTCCTTTGGAGACATTTGTGTGGAAGTATCTACGTCATTGTCCAAAGTTGTCATTTTTCACCTTTTGCTAGTTGAAGAAATAATTTCTGCTACAACATGGAACTGCAGTGGTATAACTGGACATTTCTTCATTAATAGGTGAATGCTGTTAATTGCAACACCAGCTGGAAAATCACTTTATTTATGAAATATAGTTCCTATCGAGAGGATGTGCTGAAAGGTGTAAGTATGTGCTGCACAGAACATTTGCTGGAAGAATCAAAGTTCGTTTTACTGAACTTCCAGATGCAAAGCATGTGCATCCCCTGGTGTTCATTGTTTAGCATGTGACTATAAACTTATAAACCTATAAACCAAGAATGTGGCTGTATACTCACAAAAAGTGTTTCATTAGTTTTCTCTCCTGTATTTTGAAATGTAGAAATAATTGTTAAACACTAAGGAGATTATCAAAATCAGAAAGATACACTTGGTCCTTATGTCTTATGGTCAGCCTTTTCTTGAAAATACAGTTTTCTTGACTTGTTTTTCTAGGGTGACGTCGTTAGATTGTTTCATGCAGAACAAGAGAAATTTCTGACCTGTGATGAATATGAGAAAAAACAGCACATTTTTCTTCGTACAACCTTGCGTCAATCAGCCACTTCTGCTACTAGTTCTAAAGCGCTCTGGGAAATAGAGGTGTGTGAAATATTATTTGGCTTTTAATAAGTATTTACATCAACAAAACAAAGTTCAGTAGGCTGATTGCTTTATCATTATAGGCTTCATGTATGATAGACCAATAAAACATTACTTTCTGTGAACTGACTTGCACCTCTTTATTGCTGTGACCAATTTGATACATTACTGCTTCCTTTACCTGTCTTCCTCTTGTATAAGATGGGCATATATGTGATTTTGCTTTTAAAAAATCCATTGTAAAATGTTTGTTGTCAACATTGATAAGACTGAAGGCGATGTGTCTCCACTGTCATTGGAGTTAAGATGGGGTAGGATGACTCACTTTAAGTGTACATCAGACCTACAATCCCTGCAAAGAACAGTTAATTCTTTTGGGAATGCCATTTATTTCCTATTGGGATGAGGAGAGCCATAGTTAAGGATTCATTCAACCTTTGAAAAGTATTTTTTAAATGTCCCAATATGGTAGAGTAATTATGAAAATGTAAGATATGGATTTTTCTTTACAGAACCTTTCTATACAGTGGAGGAGATAACATATGCACAATTTCTTATAAACAAGCCAACATCTGATAAATTCCATCTTGACTTATTGAATAACCAGGCTTATACATTGGATCTCAACCACCTTAAATCCAATTACTTCCCCTTTATAGCATATATTCTCTGATACTTTAATATCCTAAAATGAAACTCAGGTAATATTATCTAAATATTCTCATGATTAAAAATTAATAAAATGCCCCAAATTATAATATGATGGAGAAATAAAAGGAAAATACTTTATAATAAAATAATATGTACTTCAACATGTAGAATCGTACTCTAGAAGATAGTATATGTATACCTAGCTTTGAAGGATACACAAGAGAAGTGGTAAATGCAGAGGGTAAGACAGCATTCTATGTGAGCACAGGAAAATGAAAGAGCAGAGGTGCATAATTAAACTCTTTAGTGCTTAACAGAAGAGACTTAATTGTACATGATTATAAAAGAGGGAAATAACCATAATTGAAACAGGGACAATAAGGCAAATTACAGACTACTAAAACAGAGAAATGAAGTAGTATGATGTTTATGCATATGAGCTGAGCCTTAATTATAAGTGTAACATCAAAATAATTCTCTAAGTGATGACATGGTTTGTAATAGAGATGAAATAGCACAAAAATGTATTTTCTGTCTTGAAATCCGCCCCTGGTTGAGGCATCCTTTCAGTCTGTGGCATACAGGAGAGGCCATATCCCAGGGGGAGATAAGGAATTGAGAAGGTGTTGGGGAAAAGAGCCATCACCCTAGACTTCTCCCTGACAACTTCTCTCATCCTGGTAAGACTGAAAGATAAGTTACCTGAAAAGAAATTGATAATTAAAATATGCATTTTCTTACCATAAATTTCTTATCAGTATGCTCCAAAAATTAAAAAAAATAAAGGGATAACAATAATGTGAGATACTATTTTAAAACTTTATTAATGAAATACAATGATGAAAAGGCCACATAATAACTTCCCTCTACAGTGAATTCCTTGCATTTCATGTGCCTCTGCCTATTTGATGTTTGGCTCTAAATTTGTTGAAAGGAGTTTTGAATCTTTTCAATATATTTGCTATTAATTTTATAGCTTTGGCTGTAACTGTACCACTGCATTGAAATCCATTTCAACAAAATGCATTAGTTGGAAATGCTATAACCCGCTGAGCAGTCAGAAGGGAGAGAGCGAATAAATTATTCAATAATGTTGAGATGTCTTGAATTCATTTAAGCTTCTCTCTTCATAGTGTATTTTTCTTAAATTATTGGCCTTCTCATATAACTTGATGTAAATACTTTTTAGTATGATTATGTATCAAAGTATTACCAATTTATATTTGTGGTGGGTTTCTTTCTGTAGGAGACTTGAAGGAGGTAGGCTGGGACACATTTCTCTGTTGTATAGTGTATCAGTCAGGAAGTCTGAGCATCAGGTGTTTCAAGAAAAGAGGTATTTCATATAGGAAATTAGGTTTCAGTATTACTGGAAGGACTGGATGGGGAAAACGGGTCTGGAGCAATGGTCTTATATGAGGATCTGCAGTGCAGTAACTCACTACTGCTCCTCCTCTGAGCCCATCCAGGCTTCTCCTCCTGTGCTTTGGGAGTCCTCACCCACGCACCCAGTGAGCCTGCATCCCACCCTGTAGGAGCCTGTACCCCACCCTGTGGGAGCCTGTACCCTACTTTGTAGGAGCCTGCATTCTACCCTGTAGGAACCTGCACCCTAGACTGTAGGAGTCTACACCCCACCCTGTGGGAGCCTGCATCCCAGCCGGCAGGAGCATGCACCCCACCAGGAGGGAGCCTTCACCACGCAGCTGCCACCACCTTTCCTGGAGCCAAAAGAGGATCCTCTCTATACTTTACTTCCAATTCTGATGAAATGTCTCCAGAACCCCACCAGCCAGGCTTCCTGCCCCTGTAATACAGGGAAGCATGGGAGGGTGAAGGTGGGATGGCCCTGTATGCTAACATGTGTGAATTGCAGGACCTATGATATCTTATCCACTGCCCTTTATGCCAAAAGCATTCCTTCTAAGTCACTGTGACAAATGAAAACATCTTCCTTTCTGTATCTCCAAATTGTCCCCTCGAGAGCCGTACTCCCATTGCTAGGCCTACTATAGGCTAGTTCTTAGTCTGGGATCAATGGTGATTTTCAAGTTATTTGTTAATCTCTAGTATATGTATACAAAATGTGTGTGTGTGTGTACATAAGAAAACCAAGATTTATCAGATTCTTGAAGGTATCTATGGCTCCCCCAAGGGAGCAAGAATTCAGACATTGACAAGGTCGCAGATGCTGGTGTGATTAGCAAAGGATTTGTGGAAGAAGTTTGATTTGAAAACTGAGCCTTATAGGATGGGCTGGTTTTAAAGACTTCATCCACTTGGAAGTATTTTCATAATCATCTCATTTGAGCTATGGGAGTAGGAGAAGACATAGAAGATGGAGTCTAACAAAAGGCACAGGAAGTTGCATATATATTAGCACACAGCACTTGAGGCTGAGCAGGAGTTTTGGAGTGGCCAGTGTTAATAAAAAGAAGCTAACTGTTGAGGGAGAAGGATGAAAAGTATTCCTAGCACTCTGATATGTCTCGTGATAGTTATCACCACAAACAATCCTATGAATTAAACCCACTTTGTACACGTAGAAACAGGCTTGAAGATGTTAAATTATTCACTGCAATAATTCCATAGTACGGCTGGGCCGGGACTCAAACACAGTCATCTTCAGGCTGTAAAGCCCGAGTCTTACTACTGCACCAAACTGGCCATTACCACCTGTTTCAGATCTTCTGCTTTTATTCTCAACCAGCCTAGTGGCTCAGCATTTTGGGCAAGGCCAGTTCCAAGTTCAGGCATCAAAGGACATGGTGCTAGCCAGAAGCACACATGGGAAGGGCCAAGAATTAAGTTAGTCCAGACCTCCAGGCCTGGGCATTTGTGGTTCTCTCTGCCTGGAATGAGCTCTTTCAATCTCTCTGCATGACTATCTCATTCTTATCTCTGGGTTTCAACTCATACATCACCTCCTCATGCTGTGTGTCTTATCTTAGGCTGAGGTCCATGCTAAAGTAGCCTTCCCTGGTTCCTCAAATCTTATTCATTGAAAGCTCTAGCCTTGTTCATTGCTGTGTCCCTATTGTCTAAAAGACCACTTGGCACATCACAGGTTTTTCATACTGTTTGTTAAATGAATGCTTAAATAACAAATGGGGGGAACCCCACCATATTTCCAGTTTTGGCCTGGGACTATGTCTTTTGAGTGAAGCTGTATTTGCAGACATAAAGCGTATTATCATGCATGTACACTGAGTTCACTGTTATGTCCTTTGCTCATTTATGGGGACTTTTATTTTTCTGCCATGTTGTCCTCTCACGAAAACACAGATTTGAAGAGTTAGCATCAACAGGTGGGCACCCTTTGTAAACTGTTGGCATTTGCTTGCCAGGCCCATGAATATGCTTTAGCCATGATTGTCCCTGCTCTTTTTGTCTGTAGGTGGTTCATCACGACCCATGCCGTGGGGGTGCGGGGCAGTGGAACAGCTTGTTCAGATTCAAACACCTTGCAACTGGGAACTACTTGGCGGCAGAGGTAAGACTGATGGATGTAGTGCTTTGGAATCTCTGATTCTGAAATAGGGAAATAGGCAGTTAGGTTTTCTAAAATACATAATATTTGCAAGAGCAAGCCCAAATTAGGACATTATATACGTTTCATTACTGCCTATCGTGTTCTGGGTTGATGGATACATTTTTCTTCAAATGTGAACATTAACTGAAGCCTTCAAATAATCTTTGTCTTAAACAACATAAAATGAGAGGCATTGGTACATGGAACAGACTGACATATGTCAGAGGGAAAGGGGCTGATGAAAGAAGGTGAAGAGATTAGGCAAAGAACATATATGCATAACTCATGGACACGGACAGCAGTATGGTGATGGCCAGAGGGAGGGGGGATGAGGCCTGGGGCTGGCATGAGGTGAGTAAAGGATGGACAATGGAGGACATCTGTAATAGTGTCAGCAATAAAAATATTAAACAGCAGCAGAACCCTGGGGGTTGGTTTACTAGAGGGTCAAGTGGAATGCGGTATCTGATTTGCATATTCATGTGATTGGTCCTAAAATTTCCCATGGAGCTTCACTCTTTCAGAGTGTCTGCATTGGAGAGGTGATCAGCTCATTGTTGTATAGACTGGGTAGTTTCAGGTTTATCCCCAGGGGCCACTGTTTCACTGTTGGGTGGCTTTCATTGTTGACAACCCTGGAGAGGAAAGGGTTTTCTTGCCCAGACATAGAATTTTCTGAGAACTGTCAATAAATATGGTAAAAACATGGAAGCTCTTTTCTTTCTCCACTAAAAGCATGCTTACAATCAGATAGACACATGAAGGGTGGAGAAAAGTAAAAACATAGAGGTTTTAGAAATGATTTGATTAAAGTGTGGTTATCTAAATTGAAAATAATTTAGAAAATACTGTTGTTGTTTTTTTTAAGATGTATGAAAAGATCTTTTCATTCTACTCAACTCTGTTTTTGTTTTTCAACTTTGTTTCTTCTGGGATTTACAAACAGCATTTGGGGTTTTTGGTATTACTTATCTAACTTTGGGGTTTAGATGTGAGGGAGAGTGAGAAAGTGAGGATGGAGAACTGATGAAAAAAAGGTGTGGGACACAGGACATTTCTATAAACATGCCAATCCCCTATCTAAACTGGCACCCACCCCATGGCCCTCTCCATCCTGTTAATCTGTGTTTACTGCCATCTGATTTGTTGTGCATTTTCTATTATACATACTTATTATCTTTCTCTATCAGAATGTATGTTCTATTAAGAGAGGGAATTTTCTTAACATCACCACTGTTTCCCCTGCACCTAGGACAGTGCCTAGAACTTATTTGATGAATGTATTTGGGATGAATTAAGGAGTATAAAGAAGCTATTCAGGCTTCTATACTGGGAAGGAGAATTTAGGGATTTGTATCTGAGAAGCATTTGGAACCACATTTGGGCAAATTAATCTCTTTAAGCTTCAATATCCTCTGGTGAAAGGGGGATAATAACAATATTTATATAGTAAGATTACTAAGAGAATTGAATGAGGTAAAGTGCTTGGCACAGTGAGTATATGGCTCAAGGTAAGCGGCATGATTCATTTTATTATGTGATAAATGAGGATTCTTCTTATTTTATAAATACCTGACTCATTATTTATGAATCCCTTCAGCTGAATGAAATATAGCGTTGCAATTTATAGGCTTCTTATACTTGTTTTGAAGTTTTTTGAAAACTGTTTGAAGCAAAGTTAAGTAGTCAGGTAGAAAATTTTTATCTAGAATAAGAATTAGAAAAGTCTACTATCGATAGTTGTCTCAAAAAAGATAAACTAGGATTAAAATTCTTGGCTTTTATGTTCATTGTTCTTTTTCTTAATTCACTTTTCAATCAATGGATGTTTTAGCTACAGAATTTGTCTACAAAAATGATATAATTACATATTGTTAGTTTTCCTCATTAATTTCTGTAATTAAAACTGTGTCATTTGATACATTCAATTGGATTCTTAAGAATTAAATTGTTGATTAACTTTAATGAAGATCCATGTCCTCAATACATAAATGAACTCATTAAACACTGAAAAGTAGAAAGCAGCTCAGACCTGTACCAGAACTTGAAGGATTATCTTTTCATTGCATTTCTAAAGAACAGGACTTCAAATGTCAGATGCTATTTCATTCATTAAAGAGTCTGATGTGTTTGTAGGATCTCTTCTGTCATCTTTAATACTTTCGGTAACATATTTTTTATGGCAAGGTGAGAGAAGGAGAATTAAGCATTAACATGTATCTGAAGATTAAAAGCTAGGGATCTATTTTCTACTGACTTTAGTATAACAGATTGGGTGATTCTGTGTAGTATTGTCGTGTCAAAAAAGAAGTCATAGTTTCAACATACTGACATCCATTAGATGGGGTTTTACACTTCATATGTCGGCCCTGTCCAGACAAGTCCTACCTCAGCTGCGTGTGCTGCTGGTGGGAAAGTGTCCAGAGGTGTGGCGAAGTCACAGCGGTTGTAGTCACTGCTGCTCGATAAAACACTGATTTTCAACAATAGGTGGAAACTAGCCTGTGACATTTGAAAAACAATGATCATCCTTTTGCTTTTTAAAGATGCCCAGATCTTTTATTGCAAAGCATTGTTCATGTCATTGAGGCGGGGTGGGGAGTTCCCAACTGTTGAGTTGTAACATCCTAGGAGCATTTGTTTTATTATAAGAGAGAAAAAGCTCCATGGCTTTTTATTCATTTTATTTTAATATCCAGATACTACTTAAAAAGTAAGCACACATGTTGTGATGCTGAAAACGCTGGAGCTGTAATTATTTTGGGACTTATAAAACAGCAAACACCATCTTTAAGGTTTTCAGACCTGCTTAATAGGTTTCTTTAGTGCCCATGAACTACACAGCCCGGTAGAGAATGCTGCAGGTAGAGCAGGAAACAGAGGACTTAGTCCTTGCCCTTTCTGAACCGTCTAGTTTAGAAAGCAGCACATAGTAGATGACACAGGATTATCAGCGGGCAAGGTCGTGGAGGGCTGATTATGTGTGTGTGCAGGTAGAGTCAGGTTTGTGTGAGATTAACTAACGAAGGCTCTTGCTTGGGGTGAACTTTTCCATGGTTCTCAAATAAAGCAATACACCCAGGTTGGCAGAGAAATAAAAGGGAAATCCTTGTTGACATTGCCAAGGAGACAGATAGAGATGTGGAATGTCTAAATCCTGTGCAGACAATGTAAAAAGAGAGGGCAGCTGAAAGAAATGGGTTCCAACCAGAATTACTGAGTGACAAACCCATTGTAGGCTTTGAAAGGAGGTGTTTGAAGGGGATCTAATTAGTAACAGGAGTGAAGTTGGAAGTTGATTCTGGCAGCTACTCTGGAGGTCGGGATTGGACAACTATTTGTATACATTTGGTAGATACCAGTGATGTCATTAGAAAAATATAATTTCCACCCTTGAAGAGCTCTCAGTACCATGAGATAAATGTATTGCAGCAAATCGGATTGTGGCGGGTTTATGAGAAAGCACTGAAGTGCAACACAACTTTGATAAAGGTGCCAGGGAGGTACAAGGAAGGGGGAGGAGGCCAGAGGAGGACTTGCCAGTGGAAGAGGATGGCAGGTGCGAAAGAGTGTGCTCAGGCAGTGGGGACAGCTTTTCCACAGGGAAGGAGGCCGGGGGTATTGTACAAATGAGTTCCATGTACAATACATATGTCACATGTAGGTGTGGTGGTAGAAGGTTGGAGGAGAGGGGTGGGTCCAGAAATATAGGGCAGCTACCTTTTTCAGGCCATATATACTAAGCTAAGGAGAATGGGTTTTATCTTTAAAGAACTGTGTTTCAAATAAATCTGTGCTTAAAGAGGAACTAGGGATATTTCCCAAGAAACCTGAAACACCAATCACAAAGAATGTATGTACCCCTATGATCATAGCAGCATAATTTACAATAGCTAAGAGATCTGGAAACCGCCCAAGTGCTCATCAGTAGATGAGTGGATAAAGAAGCTGTGGTATATTTACATCATGGTATACTATGCAGCTATCATAAAGAAGGACCTCTTAACCTTTGAGAGAGTGTGGAAGGACCTGGAGGGTATTATGCTCAGTGAAAAAGCCAGTCAGAAAAAGACACGTATCTCACTCATATGTGGTATCTAAGTGTTCAAAATCAACTGATGAATGGAGTGGATCCAGAGACATGGAAACATGGAACAGGTTGCAAAATCTCAGAGGGAAGGCAGAGGAGGGTGGATGGGTGGGAGGTAATTAACCAAAAACTTTGCATAAGCCATGGATGCAGCCAGTGGGGTGGTGAGGGCCTGGGGCGGGGGGTAAGGGTAGGCATGAGGGAGTAGGTCGGGAGAAAGGGGGACATATATAATACTTTCAACAATAAAGATATTTTAAAAAGGGGAAACAAAAGAAAGAAGGATCTGTTACCCTTGAGACAGCATGGAGGGACCTGGAAAGTATTAGGCTAAGCAAAATAAGCTAGTCAGAAGATGAGCCCTGTCTTCTTGAATTTCTATGGATGCTTCATTATATAGTTACTAGAGGTCTGGTGCATGCAAATTCGTGCACTGAAGGAGGTGGTCCTTCAGCTTGGCCTGCACCCTCTTGCAGTCCAGGAGTCCTCAGGGGATGTCCAACTGACACTTAGGCCTGCTCCCAGCAGGGAGCTGCAGTCTGGCCTCCCTCTACAGGAGGCGACCAAGCAGGACAGCTTCCACCACCCTGCCGCTGGTCACCGCCCCTCCACCCCAGTGCCATCCCCTCCCTCTGCCCACTGGCATGCACCTTGGCTGTCCTGGCCCACCTGCTCTTTGGCCCCACCTCCTGCTGACCAATTGTTTCGGTAGATTTGCATATTATGCTTTTATTATGTAGGATGATTGATTAAATCATTGGCCTTTGGTGAACAAGTCATCATCCTGCCTTGTAAGGTCCCAACCCTGCAATCACAGCCCCCATCCTTAGATTACCTAGGGGCATTCCAAAGTCAACTTTTTAATGTTACAAAAGACACCTTTATCTCTCTCACCACCTAGGAAACTCCAAGGATTTTAGAAGCTCTGTGCTAGAAAAGAGCTGAAGACCAAATATTTATTCTTTATTATAATTCACAATATCATAGATACTAAAGTAAGCAGGGATTCTTATTCAATTTAGAGATTCCAACAGTACTGCTTTATAGAATTCAAGATTTGTTTTGGAGATATACACAGTGCTATAAAACTGTGGACAAAATGTAGAATAAAGCATTTAATTATGAATGAAATAATATATTTGTGACTTCATCAGGTACTGCATTATGGTTCAGTTCTCTCCCTATATTATCTGTTTCTGTGGGCCATTCATTTAATTAGGTGACACGAGGGGAAGGAAGACAGACATACACAGCACAATTGTCCGCTGTCAGCACACTCACCACCAGTTTGCCATAGATCTTTTAGTCTTGTCAACTATTGGTACAGGAGAGTTAACAGCTATATCTCTGGGGAGAGTGTAATTTTATTATATTTTGAATATGATAATAAGAGAGCCTTAGTAAATAGTACTTTCCAGTCGTGGGAAGAATTATAAATCAGGCATCACAATTTCTAATCTGCTTTCTACACCTTCTTTCTTTGAATATTACTAAAGCAGGATAGATTTGAGTAGTGAAAAATAATGTTACCGGTTAAAGATTTTATATTGCCTTTTTAACTTGTTTATTTGTTTGTAGGTAGGCAAAACTTCCACCAGATGGCAGTAAATACTTATTTTCTAAATATGCAATGGCCTTTGGATTTAATTAATTAGTTAAAAACAGTATTCAAGATCCTGTACATTGGTATATGATGTTATAATTATTAGGGCTATAGTTTTAAATATCCCTAAATTTATCTGGAGAGCAGGGTTTGTATGTATGTATATGGATATGTATGCATAACACACACACACACACACACACACATAAATACAATAGAACACACATACCTGATCCTGTATACACAAATATTTATGTAGCAGATATTATACTAATATATTAAGTAAAAATTATATATCAAAATATAAATTGTGCCTGGCAATATAAGCATTTAGTAAATATTCTTCTTCTTTTTGTTTAGACTTATTAATCATAATAATAGATTGGCTCTGAAAGGCCAGTAATTAGTAAGAGGAATATACATATATGAACATTTAAGGATACACACATAGTGACTTAATGACTTTAATGTCATGTACAAGAGTAATAGATTAAAGAACATTCTATTATTAAAAAGTAACATTTTCCTTTTGAACTTACATGTTTTCGGTTTGTTTCTTGCTATTGTGTTAGATGGAAGTTTCTTGCTATTGTGTTAGATGGAAGTAGTTGTCTTTCATTTGATTGTGGTACGACCATGACTTCCACTGCCTACGTGTTTCTACACTCTCTGCCTGCCACTTTTCTATCCTGATGTGACATTCTCTATGTGACTTTTCTTTCTAGTCTTCTTTGGCCATTTAAATGAGAACTCCCTTCAGAGGTTAGAAGTGGGTATTTGTTCTTTATATTCTCTTGTTGTCACTCACTCCCATGGCTTTAGTGGTCTTCCTTTCCACCCTGGGCCACCCCTCTCCTCCTCAGGAGGCAGGAAGGGAGTGATGCTGTCGAACTAAAAGATGTGGCCTTGGAATCTTCAGACTAGTGCTCCAAATCGCCCTGCCCCTCACCAGTACCGAGACTTTGCACAAATACTTCCTTTGATGTGTCCCCAGGGCCTCCTCTGAAAAGGGGTTAAGAATCACTTCTAATAGGATAATTATAGGGAGAAAGGAATAACATTTAAAAGCATAAAAATTATTGCTTAAGTGACATTTATGGGTCTTCTCTGAGCAAATCTCATCTTCTCACTTACATGGCACTCATTCCCTTGCACTGCCTGCCTGCTTCCCTCCTTCTTTCCTTCGTTGCCAGTTACAATTCTGCCCATCCTTCAAGGCTTTTCTCAAATGCTACCTTCTCCATGAATATAGTCAGGTTTTTGTTTTGTTTTTTTATATTTTAGACAGAGGAAGGAAAAGAGAGAGAGACAAGAGAAGAGGAGAAAGATGTGAAAGAGACAGATAGATTAGTTGCCTCCCACATTCACCCTGACAGGGTCCTGGGATTGAGCCTGCAATCCAGGTATGTGCTCTTGACAGGGAATCCAACTGGAGACCCTTTGATGCACAGACTCATGCTCTAACCATTGAACTCACCAAACAGGGCATGCATTTATTCTTGAATAAATTTTCCGACCACAGATTCCTCCTTCTGACCTATATTATTTATAAATTATTCATTTCTGTCTTATATCTCTTGCCACATTCTATTTTGTATTTAGGCTAACTGTATTTATGTCTTATTTCTCCTCCTAGATTGTATGGTCTTGTGGTCAGGGACCATATTCTCTTTGTATTTCCTAAAATACCATATGTCACTATACTTACCCATTATAAACGCTCTGTTAATGAATTTTGGATAAATGATTGGATAGCATATTGAATCTTTTTTCCCAATCCAGATTTATAATTTATTTTTAACATAAGGAAATATTTTCTTTAAAGTAGTAAAATAGTCGGGAATCTCCATATGACCATGTCTTTTATCTTCTTTTTGAGAAATACATTTTCAATTTATCCTTAGTTTACTTATGTGAATAATTACTGCCCATATTATATTTAGAAAAGGAAAGCAACAGTATAATTACAACATACATTGAAACATATATTTATTTGGCCTTTAGTTAATATTGGTGAATTTATATAGCCAGAGATTTATTTGTGTAGCTTTTCTTTTCCCCACTTCTCCAACTCAACCTTCTCCTCATCCTCACGGTTATCACTTTAATAAATTCGCTGAAGCAGCAACCCTATATTAATTATTAAAAGAAAAGATTGCAGTCTGAAAGACAACACATGTGCAAAATTCATTTTTCTTATTGGAATGGCACTAAACTCCGCAGTCCAAACCCACAGACATATGCTATTGTTTGCTTGTTTCAGTAGTTCTCATGCTTTATTAGCTCACATATCTGATATCTATTCTAATAAAAGGGTAATATGCTAATTAGATTGGGTCAACAAGCCATCTTCCGGATGTCCGACTTCTTCCGGACAAAACCATGGTGGTGAGGGCTGAGGCAGAGGTAGTTAGAGGCAATCAGGCCAGCAGGGGAGGGCAGTTGGGGGAGAGATCAGGTCAGCAGAGGAGGGCATTTGGGGCAACCAGAATGGCAGGGAAGGGCAGTTGGAGGCAACCAGGCTGGCAGGGAAGGGCAGTTGGGAGCAACCAGGTTGGCAGGAAGGCATTTGGGGGTGAGATCAGGCTAGCAGGGGAGGCAGTTAAGGGCAATCAGGCAGGCAGAGGCAGTTAGGGGCGATCACGTCTGTAGGAGAGAGTAGTTGGGGGCAAGATCAGGTGGCAGAGAAGGGCAGTTGGGGACGACATCAGGCCGGCATGGGAGGGCAGTTGGGGGTGATCAGGTAGGCAGGCAGAGGCAGTTAGGGGCTATTGGGCAGGCAGGAATGTGAATGTTTAGGAGCAAGTGGTCCCAGATTGCAAGGGGGATTGGGCCTAAACCAACAGTAGGACATCCCTCAAGGGTTCCTCGATTGGACAGGCTGCAGGCTGGGCTAAAGGAACTAACCCCCTACCCCCGTGCACAAATTTTGTGCACTAGGCCACTAGTATATCTGATATATTTCTCCCCTTTTCAATTTTCTTTTCTTGTGTGTATAGCTTGTGGAGCATAATCTTGATTCATTGTTAAAACTTTCCCTTTGCTGTATTTTTGAAAACTGGTGTCTGAGTTATTAGTCAGTGGTAGGATTTGTGGTGTGTAAAATGAACTCTTTTGAATGCTTCTTCAGAGGAGGTGGGATTGTCAGCTCTCACCCGTTCAAAGATGTCAACTCTTCTTATAAAGCCTATACACCTGGCATTTTAGCTCCTGTTTTCAACTAAAGTTTGAAGGTGATGTTTTAAATTGTAATGTTTGCTAATGGTTTCTTTCTTAGCTTCTTTTCATATTATACTTAGTTAAGGGTACAATAGTGAACTGAATTAAAGATCGTTGATCTTGTTAATGTGCTTTTAATAGCAGTTCAAACTAGTTTTTGTTGTTGTTTGTTTTTTAGCTTAATCCCGATTATCGAGATGCCCAAAATGAAGGAAAAAATGTGGTGAGTAGAATTGTTTTGCCCACCCCCCAAACAAATCCCAAATATATTGTTTATATTTTATATGAACAAATTGAAAAGTTAATAGGAAATTTCAAGACAAGAATCTCTGAGGGAGATTCTCTGAGTAAAGGCTGTGGTTCAAAGCTAAAAGAGGAAAGATGAATGATACGGCTTAGATTTTAAGGTTTCTACCCTGTTTCCCCGAAAATAAGACAGTGTCTTATATTAATTTTTTCTCCTAAAGTTGCACTTATTTTCACGGGATGTCTTATCTTTCCATGCGCTAGGTCTTGTTTTCGGAGGATGTCTTATTTTCGGGGAAACATGGTACTAGTGGATATTTAGGGATATTTCTAGCAACTTGAAAGCCATTTGTGATTGAACACTGAAGGCAGCTAGCATCTGAGGCATATGGTTGGTCTAGAGTTAGTTTTCAGAAATGAAAAAAAGTTAGGCAGGAAAAATGGAATCATGGCATCATATTTAAAAAGGACAATAGGACAATCTTTTAAAAAAACATATTTTATTGATTTTTTTTACAGAGAGGTAGGGAAAAGGATAGAGAGTTAGAAACATTGTTGAGAAACATCGATCAGCTGCCTCCTTTACACCCCCCACCGGGGATGTGCCCACAACCAATGTACATGCCCTTGACCGGAATTGAACCTGGGGCCCTTCATTTCGCAGGCCAGTGCTCCATCCACTGAGCCAAACTGGTTAGGGCCAATCTTTTATTTGGAATAATCTGTGTTCTACTTACAGGGGGACATGGAAGCATCAAACAACTTGATGACTAATTTTTCTGATATCCTAAAATGTGCTACTCAAAGGGCATCATATCAAAGTTTCAAATAGTGCAATTGAATTGAATTGAATTTCTGAGCTCATCTCCTTTCAGCTACATACTATTTGGTGGTGCCGCTAATAATTCTGGGCAGAGCTGAGTGGGAGAACAGAGAGTATGAAAGTTTATGGAGCAGCATAAAAAATATAAGTAATAAATCCATGATGAAAGTTCACTCTTTGTGTTAGTTAAGCTTTCACTTAGACGTGATAGATTTTTTTCCCCCTTTTGATTCTGGAATATAATTTCTTCACTCACCTCTAACGGTGAGAAAGGGCACTCTTTTGTTTGAGCAATACTTTAATTGCAGGTCACACAGGTGGTTCTGCCTTTGCTGTAGAAGTTTATGACTGGATGTCATCTGTCATCTCAGAGACACATCCAAGTGAAGGCATTTTATTCTACTCTTTTTCTCTCCAAAATCCCCAGCTTGAAAGTAAATAAAACCTAGAACATGGAACAATAAAGCTAACAATAGGGCTCCTCATTTTATAGACCATTTACCACCTAGCAATAATTACGTTTCTATGTAAAAAATAGAAAACAAAGGAGCAACTAGAGTTTCACCTATGAAAAATGAAACCAATTTCCCAAAGCAGAAGAGAATTCCCTCTCACCTCAGATCTGGGCTCCAGTAACACTGAGTTCACGGTGACCTTGCTAATTACTCTCTTTCCTAATTTTCCCTGTGTTGTCTGTTTAATATCCAGTTGATATTTCCCCTGTAATTTATCAACCTTTATCAAAACGCTGCCTTCCGTGCTTGAAGTGTCAAAGGTTAATGCATGGTGCTGCAGAAATGAGGTGGTGTGTGTCAGAGCTCCCATTAAGACCCAAATTGCTGTATTTATTCTACAAAAGAGCCTATTATTTCCAATCTTACAAATGTAAGGTATCCACAGGGACTCTGTAAATACTGGAGCTGGGTCAAGCCTGACTGGGAACCTGACAGTCATTTTGTTTCTTCCCTTTGAAAGGCAGCATCTTTTCAAATGGCTCGTTGAACAGGGTTTTGGGGAGATGGCACCGCCCATTTGAGCATGACCATGTTTATGTGGGATGTGGTCTGATTTTTTCAAGGGCGTGTCTTCTGTCTGTGCTGAGAATTCTTGACCTCAGCAATACTGATGTCGTAGGTCCAATGATTTTTTGTTGTGGGGGCTTTTCCTTTGCATTGCAGGATGTTCAGCAGCCTCCAGAGGCGCTATACTCACTGGGTGCCAGCCGTGGCTCTCCCTATCCCAAGCTGTAGAACTCTAAGTGTATCTGGGAATTGCCAAATGCCCTCCTGGGGACCAGACTTTCTTCCTGTTGAGAACCATCAGTCTTTTTTTCTCTTTTTTAAAAATACATTTTCATTGATTTTACAGAGAGGAAGGGAGAGGGATAGAGAGTTAGAAACATCGATGATAAACTTTGATCAGCTGCCTCCTGCACACAGTAAGGGGATCAAGCCCACAACCACCGTGCATGCCTGATCAGAACTGAACCCGGGACCCCTTTAGTCCATGGGCGGACGCTCTATCCACTGAGCCAAACAGGTTAGGCTGAGAATCATCAGTCTCTGTGTATAAACATAAACAAACAAAAATGTTCTAGGAACTATGAAACTTGAAAATTCTATTCTGTAGAATTTTCTTTTTTTGGGGGGTGAGGGGTGGGTGCGTGGGTTGGTGTGTACCGGATTCTGAAAGACCACCATCTGTCACGTCTAAGTAAAACATTTCCTTGAGTTCGACTCTATAGTCATCAGTGGTAGTGTGATAAGGAAAAGAAAAAGGGGTCATATTGAGGTTTTGTTTGAGAATAACGGATTGTTGAGGAACCATGGCAAAAGAAGCATCTGCAGCTTTAAATGGCAGGATCCTGTCTGTTACATAAAGTCAGCAGGCAGAGCCCCTGAGGGTCTGAACAGAAACACAGATGCCTGCGCATCATTATGCCGCGCTGGCCTCACACAGGTCTGAATCAGCCCTGAAAACGCATACATTGTTTCTTACAGAATGTCTCTGGCTCCTAACAACAGAATTGCAACGTGATGTCTCTGCTAAAAATCCGATGACTCACATGTGAGTCAACAGAGAAGGTGTTACAGGAGGCTAACTGCCGAGCTGCCCAAGGACAGGCAGGCGAAGCCAGGCAAAGCCTGGAGTTTATGGGCCTGATTTTCAGAAGGAATTTTCAACTCCTGTAACCCGGGAGGCTGCCTGCCTTTTCTTCCAAGTGAAAATGCTCGTTTTATAAGAGCTCAGCAGACTGGGTTAATATTCTGAGGCCCTGCATTCCCTAAATTGAGTGTTTTGGATAGCTAGCTGATTTTAAATTTAGCACCTGTCTAAGCTCTGCTGTACCTTAATGGATTCTCAGGATGCAAGAGGGAGGGCCTGGTGCTTCTGTAATTCTCTGTGGGGAGCTAGTGCTTTTGGGTCTTTTTCTCACTTAAAAAAATGGGGTGGATTTATATACAAAAGCCACAGACACATAATTTTGAGCAGAACTGTCTTTGTGTTACAAGAAATGTGAGACTGATTTTCTTACACAATGAAGCTTGAGCCATACGTTTAAAACTTGTGATATCTATCGCCCATTATTTATATTTTACTCTTTAAAAATATTGAGGGTCTGGCTTGAATTTTACTGTCAGACTGATTCCGAAGGAGAGCTTAAGAGATTGGAAGCAGAAAATGTAAGACTGCAGCACTCTTTAAAAATTTCTTAACAGGTTAAAAGCTCTTATTCACACTAACAATTATTAGGCTATTTATAAATGAAACTTATCTATTCATTAAAGCTTCCAACCCCCCAAGGACCTAAGTAAATTATTTAGTAGTACAATAGTAGATTGCACTTATCCTATGTAATTAAAATTAAACCATGGGTCTTAAATAGTGAGTAACTCAGAGTGACCTTTTAAAATTAGCCCCAAGGAGTGAGGTTTTTCCATGCTTAGAAAAGATTTTTAGTGTTCAGTATAAACTAGGTCTCTGACGACTTTGGTTGGGACCCCCACTGGGAGATGTTACCAAGGAGGATTGGGTAGGAGGGCAATCTCAAGGTCTTTTCATAAGTCTAGAAAATTCATTTTATTACCATTGAAGAAGGGGAGTGCATACAGGTGGGTTGACTCTTGCTAAATGAACTCACAAAGGACTGATGTATAAACCACAATGCCAACTGTCACCTGCTAAGTATACCTAAATCATTGAATCAGTTAATGCATTTTCCTTGAAGGAAAATCTGTATTATTAAAGGCTAAATTATAATTATAAGATTGGTGTGCAGGGCTTAGGAAATTAGATGACACATATTCCTTTTAGACATACGGGATTCCCCCAAGAAGCCTGGAATGCTCATTTGTTGCATTGACACGAGGCAATGGTAAGAGGTTTTACCGTCCCTCCAAATAGCTGTAATTGTTACATTCCCCTCATGCCCAGGCCCTGGCAATCACGAATCTACTGTTGCTATGGATTTGCCTTTTCTGGACACTTCATATATGGATTCATACAATATATGGCTTTTTGGGTCTGGCTTCTTTAACATAGCATAGTGTTTTCAAGGTTCATGTATGTTGTAGAATATATCTGTATTTCATTCTTTTTTATGACCAAATAATATTCCAGTGTGATTATACCACATTTTGTTTATTCATTTATCATTTGATAGACATTTGGGTTCTTTCTACTTTTTGACTATTATAAATAATGCTGATACCAACATTCATGTACAAGTTTTCATGTGGTCCATGAGTGTTATGATTTCTCAGCATCCTCACCAATAGTTGTCAGTATCTGTCTCTGTGAGTATAGCCATTCTAGTCCATTTAACTAATTAGTAATGATGCTGAGCATCATTGTATATGCTTTCTGTCCATTTGTATGTTTCCTATGGAGAAATGTATATTGAAAGCCTTTGCTCAATTTTTAATTGGGTTGTCTTTTTACGATTGAGTTGTAAGTGATCTTTATATATTTTGGATATAATTCCCTTATCAGATATATGATTTACAAATATTTTATTGACTCTGGAGTTTTTAATAGACATATTTTTTTTAGAGTAGTTCTAGGTTCAAAGCAAAATCCTGGCAATTCCTCTGCCCGTTCACAGATCAGAGGTGCTACCAGTTTGTGCGCCATTTGCAGAAGACATCAGAATGATACTACAAGTGTTTTCTGGTGCAGGGAACATGCTATTCACAATCTTGGGATGGAAATGCAAGTGAATGTTTTGCAATGATCAGGTGTAATACTTTATTGTCATAACAGCCATTAAATAAATGCTCATGGTTGGATATGGGCTTCATTCGTTTGCCTTTTGAGCAACTTTGTGTTATGGTAGAAAATGGCTCTCTCTCTCTCTCTTTCCCTCTCATTTTAAAATTTAATAAATTTCAATAAATATGTATAAGTAATTATATTTCTGTACTTAATTACCACACTTATATTATATTTTGGTCTCTTGTGCATCAAATTCTTCCACGAAGGATTGGGACGTGGGGAAGTTCAAGTAGAAATACCTAATCATCAATCTTGTATGGTTGCCTGCTTAAAATGGTAAGGGTGTCCTAGAAATATTGACTGAGTTTCACATCAGCATGAAGGCTTTTATTTGTGATGATCTCACTTTATTTCACTTCATAAGCTATTGTAATATGTTCTTGGTTCTAATGGAACAAGCCAATGAGTTGAATGGGAATGTTGCAGGTGATTCTCCTTCTCTCCAGGTTAATGTCTCATTTATGGTTTTGGATTCAGGCAGGAGCTCTCAAACACTATCATGCTTACTCTTTGACTTATGAAATCTCAATGATTCAACACACTCCCTCTTCTTTGTGTTTGTTTTAAATGTGGAATGGTCAAAATTACTACTATGTAAATAGGTCTACTAAAGGAAGGTAACAGAACGATTGTGACTTTCGGTGCCTGGATACTTTGCCCAGATTCAGCCACCCCTCCAGGAGTGTGAGGCTTAGCACTGTTGATAATAATTGCCTCAGAGGCTGTCAGGCCTGACCTGCTATTTTTGGTTAATGTGAAATACACATCGCTGTAATCTAATGAAGAAATAACATGCAAATTTAAACCTCATATCCCAAAGAACTGGAGAGTTTAGCTGGAAATCTGATAAAAGTAAATAGTCTTGTATCTCCTCAACAGAGAGATGGAGATCTTCCAACTTCAAAGAAGAAGCGCCAGGCTGGGGAGAAGATCATGTACACCTTGGTCTCAGTCCCACATGGGAATGACATTGCGTCCCTCTTTGAACTGGATGCCACCACTCTTCAGAGAGCTGACTGCCTGGTTCCTAGGTAAGAAAACAAATTATGGTTAAGTGATAATGCTTCTTTGAATAATTTCACTCATAGGTAAGACATTAAAATCATAATGTTATATAATTTTTGTGATATAAAGGGAGAGAGCAGAAGTGAAGAATAAAGTATGTAACAAATCATGCCTCTTTTGTGAGTAGGTTCACGTAGTTTCTTTGAATAATTTCACTCAAAATTATTCAAAAAAATTCTGAAAAATGCATAGCATTCATTTATTATTGCTTGCATGGATTTTGATTACTAAAATGGAAAATAATCTCAAAGCTTTCTATTAATATTGATATAATTTATTTTTATTGTATTAAATCCCAGATAACTTTCATTCATTCATTCATTCATTCAATCAGTCAGTCAGTCAACAAGTCTTTATTGAACATTGATGAAATCCTAGGCATTGCACTTGGCATTGGGAAAAAAACATGAATTTAAATTTAAATGAGGGAGAGAGGTGATATGCAAACATAAAATATAAGGTCAGGTAATGAAAATGCTTTGAAGAAAAATTGCAGAGTTTGGAGAGAGTTCTATTAGGTGTAAGTATTCAGAAATGGCCTCTGAGTTAGGACATTTGAGAAACTATCTGAATGACTTCAGGGTTCAGTTCTCTATCTTAGGAGTGTTTTAAGCAGCAGGAATATGAAATGGGAAAATCCTGAAATTTACCATGTATCCTGAACGACCAGCTGGGAGACAAGCTGGACCTAAGTGAGCAAAAGAAAGGGGAAGGATTGGTAATGTGTTAGCTAGAACTTAATGTAAGAAAACATCTTACATTCTTTTGCTTGTATTTGATTACTTTAGTAAACCTCTTTGCCTACACTCGTCTACCTTCCATCAATGGTATAATGATGCACTCTCTTAGATAAGCGATTTTTAACCTTTTTCATCTCATGGCACACAAACTAGTTACTAAAATTCTGTTTCACACCAAAAAATATATCATATTTTTTTTCCAGATCTTACAGAAAAATAGGCCTTAATTTGATTTCATTCACACCAGACAGCTATTGTTGTGTTGGCTGTTATTTTTCTGTTTGACAGACTACGGGAAAAGAGGTCAGCTGTTCCATGTTTTAAAAATTCTTGCAGCACACCAGTTGAAAATCACTGCCTTTGATGCAGAGACGAGTCTTGCCCATATTATTATGTCTAGTGGATAGTTCTAAATTGTCCTTGATAGAGCATTATTGTACTTGGCCTTGGTCAAATGACAGTGGTGAGTCTTATGGTCCTTACACTAAATGCGGACATTATAGGTTGCTTTCAGGGAGTGTAAAACGCTGCTTTCTAACACTGCTGAGGAACACTGCTCCTTGAACTTCCCAGAGGCTTTTGTGGTTATTCTCATTCAGGAGAAATATTGCCCAGATCTTGTTTTCCTGTGAGGTGTACCCCACTCTTCCCTGTTCTGCCGGCCTGTAAAGAGATTCCCTCTGAAGGTGTTACCTGACCCAGGTCTCTGGCCTTCTCATCTCAGTATTGGGATCTTAATCCTTATGAGACTTTCATCCTTTCAGATTTAAAAGCAAAATGGAGTCCTTCTTGAACTCTAACCAAGAAAGTTTGCTTAGGGAAGTGATGAAAAGCTACCACTATAAAGTGCATAGACCCATGACAAATCCCTGAGCCTTGCTTTATATAAGAGTTAATCTATTACTACTTAGAACTTTTGAAGCTTTTCTCAGTGTAGAATGGAATTTTGTTTGAACAGATTCATTTGTCATTAATTATATTAAAGCGAATGTTAATGAGCACTTAATAATAACTACACTTATGCTAAAGCTCTTGAGCACTTTCTAAGTGCTAAGCCCTGCCAAGTCCTTATTTATTCCTGGCAGCACTCTTACAAATAAGGAACAAGAGACAGAGCAGGGCTTTCAAATGGACTGTATATTGTAATCACTGGGCAGCACTGGGATCTCTCTGCTCTGGCCAGTGCAACCAGAGGTTAGGCTATGGGATGCAGGCTTTACTTTTTAAAATCATTACCTAGGTATTTGATCCAGAAATGTGGGAACTAAAAAAATCTTTACTCTTAACCACTAGGCTACAATGCCTTCATGTTTCAGACATTCAGATTATATCAAGATCTTTTTTAAAAAATATATATTTTATTGATTTTGTACAGAGAGGAAGGAAGAAAGATAGAGAGTTAGAAACATCGATGAGAGAGAGTCATCGATCAGCTGCTTCTTGCACACCCCCTACTGAGGATATGCCCGCAACCAAGGTACATGCCCTTGACCGGAATCGAATCCGGGACCCTTCAGTCCCCAAGCCGATGCTCTATCCATTGAGCCAAACCGGTTTCGGCTATATCAAGATCTTAATAGCAACATATTTGTGTGGCAAATGAGTTATCCATTTTCATATTCTTGCAAAATATGAAATTATACTGACGTGTAAAATATCTTTAGTTTGGAACCGGGCAATCTAGGTTGACTCAATAGCAAATATTGAACAAGTATGGGAGTAAGAATAGGGGCAACAGCCACAGGGCTGAATAAAAGGTGGCCCACACTTTCTAGATGCTTAAAGGACAGTTGGGAAGACAAGTGAATCTAAATAACATCTCCTGGGTAAATCAATGCAGAAGATGATAAGGCAGTTATTTTAAAACTTCTGATTGTTTGGACAATGGATGGATCTTTGCTATTTTAGATTTTTGAAAACCAGTCTTTATTTTATTTACTTTGATGAATGAGCAGAACCATGAAGTTGAATGAACCTCTTGCTTTTTCTGAGGCCCTTGGCATTTTATTTGACTTTCTTTTATTGCTTTCTGCCTCATGTTGTAGGACTCATTTATGTCTATTTCCTACTAAATTCTCAGGAACTTGAAAGCAGAGGATTTATCACAATGGTACTCTTTTAATAGATGCAACTCATATATGTTAGTGAAATGATAAGAGAAGATTCACGACAATGATGATATTTGAGTTGGAAGAAGTTCTGGCCTTCTCAGGCACTCTCACAGTTCTTATACAGTTGATCTTTATTATTCCCAGTACCATGAAGTAGCAACTACTGAGCCATTGCTCCTAGGGGAAATACACAATTAGGTTCCTGTGGGCCTCTGGTCACAGTATTTTTGGCAGTCATTGAATACATAACCTTGTTTTGTGTGTATTTCTGTTTAAAGATACCTTATTTAATCTATGCTGTTGATTTGGTAACATTGAACACTCAGCTGTTAGCTCTGTAATTCATGTATAAATAAAGCTTATCTAACAGGAGTATTTTATCCTTAAGGCACAGCACAACCTTGCTCTTGGGTTTAGTAAACCGCACTGAGCTTGGGAACTGTTTAAAGTAAGTGTGGAATCCATGAATAATGAGATAAACAGTGTATACTTTTACATGCAGGTGATTAAACTACAGAAAAGACTACTGCCCTAGCCAGTTTGGCTCAGTGGATAGAGCATTGGCCTGCAGACTGAAGGGTCCTGGGTTTGATTCCAGTTAAAGGCACAGGCTTGATCCCCGGCCCTGGCTGTGGCGTGTGCAGAAGGCAACCAATCTGATGTGTCTCACATCGATGTTTCTCTCTCTGTCTCTCCCTCTCCCTTTACTTTTTCTAAAAATCAATAGGAAAATATCCTCAAGTGAGGATTAACCTCCCTTCCCCCCCCCCAAAAAAAAAAGGACTCTGTCATTAGTTTTAACTGAGTTGGTTACTTGATCAATGCTTGTCACATTAGCATTTATCAGAATTTCTTGGAGAGCCTGTGAAAATCCTTGTCCACTGATTTTCTGAATCAGTGGACAAGGATGAAGCCTCAGAATTTGCATTTCTAACAAGTTCTCACGTCATTCTTATACTGCTGGTCAAGGGACCCCACTTAGGTAATAATACTGTGTGCACTGAAAGAGTCTATAGTCCAGAAATGCTCCTTCAACCAGACTGATCGATACTTGAGTCAATTACTAGTCTAAAATATATCTATATTCATATTGTGTATGAAATTTGTTAAATATATTAATACATAAGTGGGCTAACTTCATAATGTGTTTTATATTATTTTGCTTTTAGGAACTCCTACGTTCGGTTAAGACATTTATGTACCAACACATGGGTAACCAGCACTAGTATCCCTATAGACACAGAGGAAGAGAGGCCTGTTATGCTGAAGGTAAATGTTCCCGAAATGGTTTGATTTTCAGCCACATGTGTGACTAGGATTAAGGGGTGACTGACATATTTCTTTCAACCCATCCTCGCCAGTATTAGAGATTATGGGAATTCATTTAATCATGCTCTCGTGTCTGCCAGCTGCTTAGGTAGCTGAGCTAAGGGGCTTGGCTCTGGCTGGGCTGTGAGGCTCAGGAGGAGGCGGCATAGATACCAAGGCATGGGGGCAGCCTGCAGTCAGGGGAGAAGATTTCAGGGCTGTACTTTCTCTGTTGAAACGGAAGCAAAGAGCAAGTGTGATAGGGAAACATTTGGGGACAAGGCAGGATGTGGGCATGGACAATCTGTGTTCCTTTCGCCTTTCATAGAAGGTACTGTGGGTGGGAATTATGTGTTTGCAGTATCTACTCCTGTTTTGCATTTCTTAAATCGTTCTAAGTATATTGGTATTTAAAGTATATTGCCTGGTTATTTAAAAAGAAACAACTCATCTGAATGGACAAAACCCCACCACATTGCAGATTGGAACTTGCCAAACAAAAGAAGATAAAGAAGCATTCGCCATTGTGTCTGTCCCGCTGTCTGAGGTGCGAGACTTAGATTTTGCCAATGATGCAAATAAAGTGCTGGCGACCACGGTTAAAAAGCTGGAAAATGGCACAATAACTCAGAATGAAAGGAGGTTAGTAACTTTTAAAAGTGACTCTTAAATCATCAGGACTCAATTGTTCACTCCTGCAGTAAACCTCAGGTGAACCTGTGGGTAACCAGTACTAGTATTCCTATAGACACAGATGAAGAGAAGGCCTCTTTTGTTGAAGGTAAATGTTCCATTACCACAATGGTATTCTTTTAATGGACACACTCATATATGTTATACTCTATGGGGAGCAATCTAAAGCAGTCTTTTAAAACCACCCAATCTTTAAAGATTGCTTTAGAGTGCTCTCCATAGCAGCACACCTGATTCTGATGAGCAGGTCATGGTGAGTGAGTGAATGGTGACATTCAAATCTGGTGGAATATTTATTTTTTCCACTTTAGTTTGGCTTGAAAACAGTTGTTTTTCATTACTTTCTGATCTTTCCTTTTGTTTTATTTTTAAATATAGTTTTTATTGATTTCAGAGAGGAAGGGAGAAGGAAAGAGAGATAGAAACATCAATGATGAGAGAGAATCATCGATTGGCTGTTTCCTGCACACTCCAACCTGGGCATTTGCCTTGATTGGGAATCAAATCGTGACTTCCTGGTTCATAGGTCAATACTCAACCACTGAGCCACACTGCCGGGGCTGACCTTTCCTTTTCATGTTTCATAAGAGGTTCACAGTAACTTTTGCTGCATTTGATTTGCGATTTTGGGTTTCTAAAGGATCTAAAAGAAGTTGTATTTTTGTTTTTGTTCTTACTTATTCAAGATACAGTTTTCTGCTCAGCTACCACAAAATGCCCCAAATATATTATACCAGAAAACAGTCTTCATGCTGTAGCTCTCTGTTCTTACAACTTCCTCAGAGAAACTGGATCCTTAATTCTTCAACTCTGGTTTTGGAAATAAGTGAGAAAGAGAATGATATTGATAGATGTTAAATTATTTTATCCATACCTCATGTTGGTACTATGTTAGGCACTATAGATATATTTTATCTAATTCTTCATACATTGGAACTCTCATACACAGCTAGTGAAATGATAGTTGGTGTAAGCACTTTGGAACATAGTTTGATAGTGACTAGAAAAGTTAAAGAGGCAGCACTCCTTTTATAAGTGGAATCATGCGGTGTTTGTCCCTCTGCGACTGGCTTATTTTACTTATAATGTCCTCCAGGTTCACCCATGTTGTCATATATGACAGGATTTTCTTATTTTTAAAGTAGAGTAATATTCCATTATATGTACGCTGAGTGGCCGGATTATTATGATCTCTGAACATATAATAATCTGGCCACTCAGTGTATATTCTATATAATAAAAGGCTAATATGCAAATTGCCCCCTCGACCAGGAGTTTGACCATCAGGCAGGCCAGCCAACTGCCCATATCCCCTCCCCCTGGCCAGGCTGGTCGGACCCCACCCATGCACGAATTTATGCACTGGGCCTCTAATATATATACTGAGTGGACACATTATTATGCGTTCAGAGATCATCATAATCTGGCCACTCAGTATATATATTGCATTTTCTTTATCCATTCATCCATCTATAAACATTGAAGTTGTTTCCCATATCTCAGCCATTGTAAATCATGTTGCATAATAGTCTGACTTTTAGAAACGGAAAGTAGAGTGGTGGTTGCCAGTGGCTGGAGGTAGGGAGAGGAAATGAGGAGATCCTTTTTAATGGGTATAAAGTTTTATTTATACAAGGTGAATAAGTCCTAGAGATCTGCTTCACCACATTGTGCCTGCAGTTAACAGCACTGTCCTGTGCACTCAAAGATTTATTAAGTGGGTCGGTCTCGCTAACTACCACACGCACATGCACAAAAAAAGAAGTGGACTCTCCATGACTCACCAGCTCCCCTACTAGGCTGAATGATTTTGAACATCTGTCTTAAAGATGCTCCTACACATGTGCACCAGCACGCATGTGTAACGAAGTTCAGCCTTATTCTAAGTTACCGCAAACTAAAAACCACCCAGTCGTCCATCACCAGCTGAATAAGTGAATCCCGTCTTGGTAAATATCATACATTGGAACACAGTATAGCAATGAAAACAAATGAACTGCATCTATGTATACTTAACAACATGGATAAACCTAATAAATCTTGGATTGAATGAGAACTAGACACAAACTCATTCACGCTAATAGTATTTGTGAGGTTTCAATGCAAGCAGAACAACTCTTATTTGGGGTGCTTAAGCAATTGGCAGAGCTATAAAGAAGTGCAAGGAGATAATTGTCACAGAAGTCAGGATGGTACTCACTTTAGAGGAGGCTCTTGCAATGTTCCATTTCCTGTCCTACGTGGTGCCTTTATGGGGCTCGAATTATAAGTATGCCATAATGAAACATGTACGTTTTATGAACTTCTAGAAATATATTTTACAACGCAAGATACATTTCCACTCCTTTTAATGGGAAAACACTCATAACTATGCAAACAAGTGGCCTAGCTGTTTCTCAGCTTCCTCTGTTCATACCTGTTTTCCTAACAAAAATGCATTGACGACAGCTAATTGTGCATTCAATTGTACCTCCACTCCTCTGGGGAGAAAGAGTAAAGGTCAGAAGCTGAAATCACTGCTCCCTTTGCTATGGATGATTAAATACCAGAACCAAGTTAGGACCAGTAAGGGAATCCATCTGATGTGCACATACTGATACCACTTGTTATTTGCTTCTTACCTATTAACGCTTCCTTTTGATGAATCCATTTTGTAGTCTCTGTCACTCCACATATGCTCAGAAGTTTACTCAGTCTCACAAAGTCCCCCTGGCTAGGGATTACAGTGATTCTTGAAGAAAAAAACACAGACAAAGATTAGGATTACAAGCATTTACCACTATGGGCTGTAACCCTGTGCGAGGTACTCCTCTTACTGCTGGGGAGAACCTTAACCTCTCAAGGTTAATTCTGAGGAAGGTGGAGGGATCAGGATTGAGCAGGGATTATGCATTTATATTCCCCCTGCTTCCTTCCCTACTGTTTTAGAGAGAAAAACATCCTAGCATAATGAAGGTCTTGCTTGAGAAATAGGAAGTTGCAATTATTGGTCTTAATTTAGTAATTTTAAGAAAAAGCCACCTTCCATCAAAATTCATTCAAAGCTACCTGGCAGAGTTGAATACATTTATGTGACTTTTCTCGGTTTTAGAATTCAATATAAAATTCTTTCTGAAAATACCTCACGACTCTGACTTTTCCCCCTCTCTGGAGAATGAAGTTATTATTAGACACTCTTTTACTTCAGGAAGAATGATACCAGGTCAAAAGGAAGGTGTTAGAATATTGCAGATTTCTTTCAAAATGCCTGTGTTGTTTGAATTCTCTCTCTCCTTCACCCTGGAATAGACTTTGGAGGCACAGTTCCCGGGTTGTGCTCCAAGATCCTCAACCTCAGATATTCTTCCGTCGCAATTTCTGGTCTCATTCTGCAGAGCCGCATCAAGAGGGAAAATGGAGGGTGGTTAACTATGCTTAGAGCTGGAAGAAGAAGCACGTGCAATCGTAAACCAGAATTTCTGCACCACGATTCTATCTCTGGGGATGCAGAAAAAATACCGGGTTCCTCTGCAGTGTTTATAGTTGAATATTTATTTGTTTCTCGTCTTGCTAAACCGTCAGTGTACGCCAGGCATGGGTCCCTGAGGCTTGTATGCAGTGGTGACCGGCACATACTGTGGCCTTGTCTTCAAGCAGTTTCAGGCTCACGGTTGGTTCTGGTGACAGAAGCCCAGCAACCAGAACAGCATGTGCGCCCAGATTAGCAGTCCTGACGGAGAGCTCATGTCTGCCTATAGCAACATCATGGGAGTCCCCTTAAGCTTTATTTGCCTGATGTTGCCATCTCTCCATGAGTTATCTTTTGCTTGGTATTTAAGTAGATGCTTCTTTTGCGGTACTCATTTATTCCAGATTTCCTGGCCATTTTGTTGTAGTGATGTCTCTCTGAGGAGCAGAGAGATAGGTTTTTAAAAATCTATTCTTATAGTCTTAATTTGCTCAACTTTGATACATGTGTTGGAATTACTTTGATATTGAATGGTATTTTGTTTTGTTTTGTTTTTTTCATTTCTTTAGTGTAGCTTTTTTTCTTTTCTCTCCATTTATTGCTTTCTGTTAGGTTGATGTTTATGTTTTTCTCTCCATTTTTTTCTTTTTCTCTACTGGTTTAGAAGCCATAGATAATATTTTTATTATTTAGAAATTGCCCCTATGTTCGCAGAACATAAAATTCAAACTACGTGTGCAAACGTTTTTAACTATATATTCTTTCTTATAAAACTTGAAGATACAGGGTGGGGCAAAAGTAGGCTTACAGTGGTGAGTACATGGAACACAGTTTATTCTTATATTCTTATTTATTAATTATTACATTATTTTCTATATGAATAACTGTAAACCCTTTTCTGCCCCACCTGTATTAAATATTTCTTCATGTCAGGGGAGGAAAGTACCTCAGAAAGCTTTAATTATGCGCTGATGTTCTGCCTGCCACCTTTCTTGTAATAGTTGTCTGGAACCATTGTTCTGTGTTAATTTTCATTTTAAGTTTTTATTTCATTGGGTTTAATAATTACAAAGAAATAAGAATCAAATTATTATGTATCACCTTTTCTTAGTTTGAACAACAATCTAAATTGTTGTTCAGTTATTTATTATATCTGCTAATATACTTAATGTCTTCCCCTGCTTGCCTTTATTTCTTGCATCTCACTTCTCTCTGGGTTTGCTTTTCTTCTTGCTAAAATTTATGCTTTATTCATGGAGGTTATAAATCTTTTAGTTTTTACATATATGAAAATGTCTTTATTTTACCTCTACTCTTAAGTGATACTTTATGCATGGAATGTTGGATTGAAAGTTATTCTTCTTCAGTACTTTTTGTTGTTAATCCTCACCAGAGGATTTTTTTCCCCCATTGATTTTTAGAGAAAGTGAGAGGGAGGGAGAAGAGGAAGAGAAATAGAGAAAGAGAGAGAGAGAAACATTGATTTGAGAGAGGCACATTGATTGGTTGCCTACCACATGTACCCCACTGGGACTGGGATTGAACCTGGAACCCAGGTCTGTGCCTTTGACCAGGAATCAAATCTTCAACTGTTTGATGTCTTGGGAGGTAAGGGAGGGGCATGTGTGCACATTGCTCTAACCACTAATAACTGATGAGGGCTTCTAAGTCTTTTAAAGTTATAATTTAATTATTTTCTGTTATCTCTCTTTCCAGTTAAGAAATCTGCTGTTAATGGGGTTGTTATTCTTTATTGGCATTTCCCCCTTTACTTTCTGGTAATTTTATAGATTATTTTCTTTGTTGTAAAACTTTTATTTTTATTTGTCCCATTTGATACTAAGTGAATGCTTTTAATCTGAATATTATGTCTTCAGCAAGTCTGGAAAACTTCCAGCCATTTTCCTTCAAATATTGCTTCTATGTCTTTTTTTGTCATTTCTCTTTTGTAACTCCTATTAAATGCTCGTTGGAGCCTCTTAATTCAACCTCCTGTCTCTTCCCTTTCTTTTTATAATTTAGCTTTTAAAAATGTTCAGTGCTGCTTTATGGATATCTTTTGATACTGTCTTAAAAATCACTAATTTTGCTTGTAATGTATCTAGAATGGTTTACCTTCATGAATTAAATTTTTATTTAAATGATTATAATTTTAGTTAATGGTTCTTTTGCTATATCTGTCTATTCATTGCTCATATCTTATTTTCTATGTTAAAAGATAATTGCTTTCTTTATCTCTTTGAGGATTAAAAACACTTTTTAAAATTTTATTTAAAAATTGTTTTTTATTTTCTTTCTTGCTTTTTGTTGGCCTTTTGACTTTTTTAGTATGATTGCTTAGTCTGTTTCTATTCAAAGATCATTTTGTTTTTCCAATTTTATATATTGGAGAAATTGAATGTGGTGAAGATTACAAGATATAATTTGAGCAAGAGTAAAAATAGTGATTTGAATTTAAGAATTTAGAAGAATAGCTATTTTTCCTAAAGCAGAACTATTGTGTATTGCTGTTCACTCATGGAAAAGCATCAGTGTTATTCTCCTATTGACTGATTGTCAATGGGGCTCACATAGCTTTATTTCTTAATGGTCATTACATAATTACAAATATTTGATTGGAGCTGGATGTGAGAGTGGGGACTGGAGGAATTGGAGAGGGATGTTCTTGTAAAGATTTTGGTCACATTAACTGCATTAAAGATTTTGTTGATTAAATAATTTTTCATTATAAAATACTTTGTTTTTCAGTGTTTCAGTTCCTAGTGTTTATTAACTTCCTCTCCCTAATGAACACTGTATAGTAAAATTTCCTTTTCATTTTCCTATAGGTTTGTAACCAAATTATTGGAAGACCTTATCTTCTTTGTTGCTGATGTACTTAACAATGGGCAAGAAGTTCTGGATGTGGTTATCACCAAGCCAAACCGAGAACGTCAAAAATTAATGAGGGAACAAAACATATTGGCACAGGTGAATGTTTTCACATGCTAAATTTACATATTTTGCTCTTTGAATTATACAATCAGGAAAGTCCTTGGGTTAGTTATTTATTGCTGTGTAACAAGTCACCCAAAGTCTTGGTGGCTGAAAACATCAGATACGTACAGTTCCTGTGGATTGGGAATCTAGCAGTGGCTTAGGGGGGCAGTTCTCGCTCAGGATCTTTTTAGCAGGCTGCAGTCATCTCGAGGCTCAAATGGGAAAAGAGTCACTTCCCAGCTCACTTATATGGGCCTCTCCACAGGGCTGCTTTGAAATAAGGCAGGCAGAGAAAGACACAGGATCTCACTCATATGTGGAATCTAAAGGGCAAAATAAACTGATGAACAAAATAGATCCAGAGACACAGAGACATGGCACAGACTATTGAATCTCAGAGAGAAGGTGGGGTGGGTGGGTGTAGATCAACCAAAGAACGTGTATGCATATATGCATAACCCATGGACACAGACAGTGTGGTGAAGGCCTGGGGCAGGCTGTAAGGGGTCAATGGGAAAAAAGGGGGACATCTGTAATACTTTCAACAATAAAGATTTAAAAAAAAGTTGGCAGCTTGCCTTTGTTAGAGTAGTCAAAGAAAGATCAAGAGAGAGCACTCAGATGGAAGCCACAGTCTTTTTATAACGTAACTAGAGGCTCGGTGCACGAAATTCGCACACAGGGGTGTATTTGTGTCCCTTAGCCCAGCCTGCACTCTTTCCAATCTGGGACCCCCTTGAGGAATGTCCGGCTGCCTGTTTAGGCCCAAATGGGCAGTCGGCCATCCCTCTTACAATCTAGGTCTGCTGGTTCCCAACTACTCACCTGCCTGCCTTTCTGATCACCCCCTAACCACTCCCCTGCCAGCCTGATTGACACCTGATTGCTCCCCTGCCAGCCTGATTGCCCCTACCTGCCCTCCCCTGCTAGCCTGGTCACCCATAGCTTCCCTCCCCTGCAGGCCTGGTCACCCCTAACTGTCCTCCCCTGCAGGCCTGGTCACCCCCAACTGCCCTCCCCTGCTGGCCATCTTGTGTGTTGGAGTGATGGTCAATTTGCATATCACTCTTTTATTAGATAAGATCCTTGAAGTAACATCCCATCAGTTCCAGTGCATTGTCAAGGAGACAGAATCCCACAAGGGTATGCATTCCAGGGATTAGCAATCACTGGGGGCTGTCTTGGAGGCAGCCTACCACAGCTTTCAAAAAGCTTTACATGGTCAGACTATCTCCAGAAAATGTGCTGGGATAACTTTCTAGGTAGAATTTCCAGGAGAACTTGGAAGCTTCCTACTTCTTTCTGTCTCTTTCATAGGAAAGTAGGGTAACCTGTTCATCTGCTCACAAGTGCCTTATATAATATTCTAGATTTTACCCTGGAAGTTCTTTCTGAAATGGTTTAAAACATAGCAATACATTAATTTACTTCCTAATAATATGCACATATGAACATGCCTGCTGTTATGCATTCTTTTTGTTCTGTTAATTGCTATATAAAATAATGGCCTTCTGCATTCTTAAACTGTGGACTCAAGGAAGATACTTAAATAAAAATCACATCAATATACATGTGCTCTTTGTAAAGTTGGGAAAGGAAAACAGGAGACATTGTCAATTAATATTCTGTAGCTAATTGTCTAAAAATTAACATTTTTCCTCAAAGATAAGTTGCAAATCTAATGAGACAAAGTCTTTTCTGACAATAGCTTTTGGGGTGTGTGTATAAAAATGTTTATTTCAAGGACTTTTAGGACATTGAATAATTTATTAATATTTTAAGCAACATGTCAAAACTTTATTTCAGTATTATAAGTATGAAATTCAAGGTGTAGTGAATATAGAATTATTGAAGAAACATTAATTCATATTATATTTCATGAACTAAAGGGTAATTTCTGTTCATTTTGCTTTCTTGTATTAATGCTCATGCCCTTGCCTAGGTGCTTTAAAAATTTTTTGTATTGCTATTTATAAACATGAAGGGAGATAGGGAGAGAGAGAAAGAGAGCAAGCGAGAGAGAGAAACATTGATATGAGCAAGAAACATTAATTGATTGCTTCCCACATATGCCCTGAATATCAAAACTGCAATGTGGGTGTTTGTTCTACTGGGAATTGAACCTACCACCCTCTGGTGTATAAGATGGTGCTCCAACCAACTGAGCCATTACTGGCTAGGGCCCTACATGCTCTTTTATAAACTATTTACTCATTCTATCAGCTCATCACTAGGTGATCCTATGTTCTGTCTTTCCGCCTAAAAGAGTTAAATTCCTCAATGTTTTTTAATACTTACAAATTAGTAACTTTAAAAGAAGAATCTGGGTCATTGGGTATCACCAGCTGTCCATGTGGGTCCCTTTTTGCTGATAGATTCATTGGTTTGGCCACATCTTTATGTACCAAGAACAATAAATTGTTTTATAAAGAAGTTTAGAAGCAATATTTGGAGGCAATTTTCTGATGTGAGCTTCAAGTGAAAATACATGTGTTTTTTTAAAAAAATATTTTGATTTTAGAAAGCTATAGAATAGATGTAATTATAAAGCTGATAGAAATAAAACTATATTTTAGTCCATCTGAATATGTTGATGTAATTTGGTACAACCCAACATCTTTATATTTCTTATTTTAATAAAATGTAATAAAAATTAAGTGTTTTATTTAAATAATGTTTTTGTCATTCAGTTTAGGGAATTATTTTATCAGTATTTTTCTGTTTCTTAATAAGTTATTGATCCTATATCCTAAATCTTTTATTCCCATTAATATTTCAAAAGTGTTTTTGAATCATTGTGCTTATTTAAAAAAAAATTAAAACACATTGCAAAACATCTGTCCTCATTCATCAGAATAGGTGGCCTTCTTTTTGCTTTGTTTTCTGGTAGGTATTTGGGATTCTTAAAGCACCCTTTAAGGAGAAGGCAGGCGAAGGCCCAATGCTGAGGCTCGAAGATCTGGGGGACCAAAGATACGCTCCCTACAAGTACATGCTGAGGCTCTGCTACCGTGTGCTGAGGCATTCGCAGCAGGACTACCGGAAAAACCAGGTCAGAGGGCGGCGGGTCACGACCTCTGTCTAGCATTTACAGTGACTGTCCTAGAACATATAAAATAGGAATAGAAAACGGCATTTTGCAATGGAACGTGTCATATTGGGAACACAGTAAAATGACCTGTGTGTATTTTTGAGCTGAAATATGCATTTATTCTTCCATGTAAGATTAGAATTGTTGAGGGAGGATGTCTGAGTCCTTCTGTGTGCACGGTATTACTCCTGCCGGACCGAGGGCATGCAGAATGTCTATGTAAAGAGGACTGAGACAATTCTCACCTTTTTAGGAACATGTGAGGTATCACATCATTATGTAAAGGTCAAAGAGGCCATTGTCTTGTAGGAAAGATATGGCTTGTGCATCTGAAATATGGGGGGAGAGGCAGAGAGGGAATGTGAGAGATAATGTATTGCTGGAATTCAGAAGAGGGAGAGGAAGCTCAGTTGTGCCTGAGGGAATCCAGGAAGGCTGCTTAGAGAAGTAAGCATGGCAGTAGGATGGTAATCATTTTCATAAATTGTAAGGGAACAGGCCTTTTAGAAAAGACGGATCTATGAAAAGAGAATGATGGATGCTGGAAAGGGCACTTTTGTTCAGAGACATTCCCAACTGCAGAGACAGGAAAGCCAGGCATATCTAGGGACATAGATAAAAGATGTCAACTGCAAGTGACATTTCTTTTGTCTCATTTTTTACCTTAAAATTATGTAATATTTTGTAATGTGTTCAATAATATACATGCTTCTTTGTTTAAAATTATTAGGTAGACTATGTCCCATTTTTCTCTTAGCCAGTTTGAGAGATGAATGTATAATTAGGAAATCTACTGGTGATTTTAGTCCGTGAGGAGAAATGGTTTTGAGAGAGGGTTGGTAAGGCAGGTTTGGCTAAGTCACATGTAGGGCCTAGGACTTCAGGCCTAGAAGGTGGAGGTTATTTGGGAACTAGAGGCTTGGTGCATGAAATTGTGCATGGTGGGGTCCCTAAACCTGGCTAGAGATCAGGGCCAATTGGGGCCATATTGCCCAGTCCCTATTGAAGCCAGGCTAATTGGGGCTGATGGCCAGGGCATGGGCAGGGAGAGGGACCATGAGAAGTTGGCCAGCTGGTTGAGGGGAGGGACTATAGGAGATTGGCTGGCTACAGAAAGGGGCTGGGAGAGGTTGGTCAGCTTCAGAAGGTTGGCTGTGGGAGCACACTGACCACCAGGAGGTAGCTCTTTCATTGGGCATTTGCCCCCTGGTCGTCAGTGTGTATCATAGCCACTGGTCGACCAGTCATTCCAGTCATTCAGTCATAATGGTCACTTAGTCATATATATATATATATATATATATATATATATATATATATATATATATATAGTGGTATTTATTGAGTGCTTACTTTGTACCAGGCTCAACTCTGAGCACTTTTTACAACTTAACTCAGTTACTACTGAGTTAAGATGAAGAACCAAAGCACAAAGTGTTTAAATAACTTGATTATACAGTTTTAAGACTGAAGACAGTATTCAAACCCAAGCTCTTTCTTATCACACTATTTCCTTTTATTAATTTAAATGTTTTTTTGCAAGAAAAAAATTTTGCTCTAAGAAAAATGTGTTAAAATATATTGGTTTTGAAATTCTGTTTAAAGATTAAGAAAAGGTCTAAAAAGAATATGTAAAACAGATTAGTCAGGAGATAAATAATAAGACAAGGGGCAAGAGCGAGGAAGGAGGCTATATAAACAAATCCTTAAATACTTTTTAATATAATCCTACTTATAAACATTCTTCTTCCCAAGTGAAAATGCTGTCATTGGAATTATTTGTCCCAGCTTCACTGTATTCATTTGACATACCAAGATAAAGGGCTGTCTTTATTTTATTAAGAAAAAATTAAGTTCCAGAACATTAAACCTGCTTTTTGTTTTTTTTAATAGTATATGACTATGGATGGACCACCTTTTATCTCTTTTGGGATGTCTTTCAAGATGTAGATCATTGAGCTGACAAAAGGAAACAATTCCCAGCATTCCCGAGAGTTAGATTTTACTTTCCCTCACGTTCCTTGCACATTCCAGTTCAATACTTTTCTCATTTCTGTTGAACTAAGAATGCTTTGTATTAATCATAGAACAGTTTTCTAATATTTTTAGAACATGATTTTAAAATGTAAGCAGACTTATGTTCTACTTTTTGCATAATTACCATGTTTCCCTTTATCCATAGCTATGTTTTATAGGATCCTCAGAGGCAGTTCTTTTGTGATTCAGCACTAACCCACATTGAGTCTCTGTTTATCATTATTTATAGGATTTGGCAACATCTCTAATTTCTTTTGATTATTTGTTAACATCTTGACCTATTTATCAAACATCTTGGAGATTTGCATTATATTATAGTATGATTACAGTAGTCATAAAAGTGGTAAATCAATATGTGTCTTTAAAATGATGTACTAACAGAAGACAGTTCCTTTATTTAATTGGCTCTCCAACATAAAGCCATTATTTTGAAAGGGCACAAAATTGTTGCCTGAAATACAGAATAATTAAATTAGATTTGTGCAACCAACATAATTTTCAAGGAATAGATAGGTTCCAGAAAAAAAAAAAAAAAAAAAAGCAAGACCACTTTCTAATGAAAGAATTCTCCCAAATAGATACAGAGATACTTTCCAAGGAGAATAGCCAGGAAACTGAAGTGAAAATGTTTTGATTGTGGGAGGGGGTAGGCTTACCAGTCTTGCTTGTACACAGACTGTGGGAAATGAGCAATAGTGGCTTGGATATAGGAGAGTTAGTGTGAAGAATAAGGAGCACATTATGTAATGCATGATTGACACTCCTCCAATGACTTTCTCTTGCCTTTAGCATAACATCTTTGTCCTTTACTATAGCCAGAAAAGACCTGCCTCTCCAACCTCAGCTCCTGCCTTCTCAACTCTAGCTCCAACGGCCACCCTTTGTTCATAGACCACAAAAAGCTTGGTTTCACTACCCCAGAGCCTTTTTCATCTGCTACTCCCACAGCCTAGATGGCTTCTCTCCCCATGTTGCCTCCTTTTTATCACTTTTATCGTTTCATTGTTTTCATAATTTCCATTCTAGCACAAATGTCACTTCCTTAGCATCTACTCTATGTGAAGTTGCCACCTTTCTCCATCCTTTTATTTGTTTCATTTCACCTATCAACATGTAAAATTATCTTATTTATGAGCTCATTTACTTGCCTTTTTTCACACTAGATGAGAGCTCTGTGAAAGCTTATCTATCTTATTTACTGCCATATGCTGAGTGCCTGGAATGAAGTAGGCTTTTAAGAAACATTATTGGGTGAATGGACCTGATCAATTAAGTGATTAATCATATTTTCTTATTTGATAGCTCTTTAAAGGTGAAATGTGGTAGGAAATTTTATCATTATTTTAAAGAGAAGATTTAATAGATCATTGTGGCATATGGTACAAAAAGAAAAATCACTTAGGTCTACCTGCATAATTCTCTGTGTAACAGTATAGATCACAGAGTTATTTTCTTTCCATAATTATATTGAAATCATTGGTTATGACTTTTAATGAAGGTTAGAAGAAGGGCCTCTATTAGGGTGGTGAAATCTTTAGTTGTCAGGTCATAAGAATTGTTACTTTAACTAGGTTTATTTATTTTCTCACTTATACTTCAAAAGTATAAGCACCCATATTCAAAAATACTTCTAGGTATATAGTTTTTTTGTTGTTAAAATTTAAATTTGGTATATGTTAATATTTTCATTTCCTTCCTTAAAAAGTCCTATTTGTTGTAGAATTGTTTGCTTGGTCTTCTTTGGACAATAATTTTTAGTGAGTTTTCTGTTATGAATAATTGAATTAGTGTTGCTGACCGTAATGGAACCTGTCATTTCTAAGCTGTTTTGGCAGTGTATTCTGACAGCCTTTCTTTTTGCAGGAATATATTGCTAAGAATTTCTGTGTCATGCAGTCCCAGATTGGCTATGATATTTTGGCAGAAGATACCATCACAGCTTTGTTGCACAACAACAGAAAACTACTAGAGAAACATATCACAGCAAAAGAAATAGAAACATTTGTCAGTTTACTCAGGAGAAATCGTGAGCCAAGGTTTGAAGTGGTTCATGAATCATTCTTTTCTAGGGGAGATGGTGGCTTTTTTGCTATATTCTTACAACTTTTTAAAGTTGAAATTCTTTTATATACTTTTTAAGGACAAAACTAGATGAGGCTTATTGCTATAATAATTATGTATGATAAAGAGTTATTGCCTTATAGCAGATCTAAACCCCTTCTAGATATATTTAAATGTAAAAACATATAGTTTTATAGTATACTAGAGTCCTGGTGCATGACATTCATGCACTCAGGGGAGGGGGCTGTCCCTCAGCCTGGCCTGCGCCCTCTCGCAGTCTGGGACCCCTCAGGGATGTCCGCCTGCCAGCTTAAGCCCAGACATCTCGTGAGGGGTCCTTAGCGCTGCCACAGAGGCAGAAGAGGCTCTGGCCACTATTACTCCGCTTGCCAGCAGTGAGCCCAGTTTCTGGCTGAGCAGCACTCCCCTGTGGGAATGCACTGACCACCAGGGGGCAGCTCCTATGTTGAACATCTTACCCCTGGTGGTTGTCAGTGTGCATCATCGCAAAGGGTCATTCCACTGTTTGGTTGATTTGCATATTAGGGTTTTATTATATAGGATTCATATACATTGTGTCATTTAAATCCTTGCATGTTTTCACAAAATACACTGGTTTGTGTATTATTACCCACATTTTAGAGATGAAGAAAAAGAAGACCAGGGTATAGTTTCTTCAACAATAGCCCAATAAGAAGGAATAGAATCGGTGGTATATCAAGGGTTTCTGATTCCACATCAAGTTTTCTTTTTATTGCATCATGATAACTTATCTGGGAGAAATGAATGCTGAAAAGCCAAGGCAATTGATAAACTTTTCTTAAGTAACTATAACTAGCACAGCCAATAAATGTTAGCAGGTGGAAATGGGCCTCTGATTGCACTTTGATTAAGTGTGTGCTATATTCCTATTTTACTCAGGACATTGTTAGCTTTGATCTGCTTTTGTTTTGATATTCAACTCTGGGGTTATTTCACTTTAGGGCAGATAAATGGTTTTCTAAACATTGTAAATCAATGTGCTACGGGGTGAATGCCACCAAATAAATAGAAGTGAACTTATGTCCCTTTCAGAAATATTTGTATTAAATATAAATAATTTGATGTTTAACATGTTTCTAATGATGAAGTAGATGAGCAACACATTGTAAAAATGTGCCTGGAAATCATATTTAAAAACATACCTTAAAAGTCATGTTTATTATATCCCCAAATTTGTTTTTGTTAAGATTTTATAAAATGCCTTTTTTAAATGTTCAATTTAATTTTTTTTGCCAGATTTTTGGATTATTTATCTGATCTGTGTGTGTCCAATACCACTGCTATACCTGTAACTCAAGAACTCATCTGCAAATTTATGTTGAGCCCAGGCAATGCAGACATTCTCATTCAAACCAAGTAAGCCCAGATGATGGAGTCTTCTTTTCCTGTTCATTATTTATAATCATTGTACTTCTTTGTCATATTTCTTAGTGAAATACTTAATAAATATTGTTGTTAATTTCAAGGCTGGTCTCAATGCAAATGGACAACCCATTGGAGAGCTCCATTCTTTCAGATGACATTGACGATGAAGAAGTTTGGCTCTACTGGATTGACAGCAACAAGGAACCTCATGGCAAAGCTATCAGGCACCTTGCTCAGGAAGCCAAAGAAGGCACCAAAGCTGACTTAGAAGTTCTTACCTATTACCGGTAAAGTATTGGAGAGAATCGTAGTTCTCAATCTCACATACTCATTGAAAGAGATTCTCTGAGACTTCTAAAAGTCAGCTATCTAGAAGAGGGAATTTAAAAAGTCATCATTACTAGGGTAGCTAAAATATATAGTATTATTTAAAATATTAGAAATAAAAGTTAACATCTGTGTACTCCGCATATACCTCTTGCGATTTCCTGATTTCCCACTAATTTAGAATTGTTGGGATTGCTGTGCAGCAAAGGCTTTTTCTATTACTGATTGGAGTGGGTGCATCTGAGAGACATATTAGGAGCTAAGAAATGGAGTTGAGAGAGAGCTGGAACTCGGGCCAGGTAAGCTGATCCAGCTACAGATGTGGCCTCAGAGGATGGTAGCCAGTAGTTTAGGGTTTGTAGTGCTTATACATAGGAGAGATCTAAGGCTTAAGAGACAGTAGTGTCTACAGTTACGGAAGTTCAGTGGTGGCATATGGTAGCCAAAGTTCTGATGGTAGTTTCTGGTGGTGGGTATATTGTGAGCAAGAACCTACTTAATGTCTTCGAACTTAAAGGATGAAAACCAAGGCAGAAGCTCTTGGGTTAAGTTGGGCACAAATGACAGGAATCTAAGAAAGGCAGGGAGTGCCTCTTGTTCCTTGGCTTCTACAGTTCAAGCCACAAAGCCGGAGGCTAATCCTTGATCTCAGAGGCTGATGAACCCAAGTGTCCCGATGCCATTTGTGTGGATCACGTTTGATTTAGGAACTGAGTGGATCTAAGCTTAGAGTGTAGATACTGGAGTTCAAGCTGAGTTTCATGTGAGCTGTAATCACAGTCATCAGGGTGTATCTGTGATCCTAGGAAACCTAGAACAGAGACTTCAGTGACTGTCTCCACCAGATGCATGTTGCTGGAACAAATAAGGGAAATGGCAGCTGGAAGGGCATGGAGAAAATTGTTGTTATTTGATCACTTAACCTACTACCAACAAAGTTTCACTCCAGTATCACATACTCTTGGAAATATGGGTGTCATACAAGTAGATACTGACTGATCCTGTGATGTTTAAGAACTTTATCAAGACAAATGATATAATTTGTTTAATATTTTTAAGGTACCAGCTAAACCTCTTTGCAAGGATGTGCTTGGATCGCCAGTATCTGGCCATCAACCAGATTTCGACACAGCTCTCTGTGGATTTGATCCTGCGGTGCATGTCGGATGAGAGCCTGCCATTTGACCTCCGAGCATCTTTCTGTCGCCTCATGCTCCACATGCATGTCGACCGGGACCCCCAGGAGTCCGTGGTGCCTGTGCGCTATGCCAGGCTCTGGACAGAAATCCCCACCAAGATCACCATTCATGAGTATGTTTGGGAAAATGTCTCAAAGACTTTACATTCAGTAGATGAAATAAAAATAAGATGACATCAATTTGGAAATAAAATACGGAGAAAGGCATTTCTGTGTTCAGGTTATCTTCCAAATGCAAACGAGATACTCTTTTTTTTAGAGAATAAAGTGACAACCCTTGATAATAGAAACATCATTCTGGAAATATAAACAGAAATCATATTGCCAATAGCTAAGCAAGTTGTTGAGTACTTAATGTAATGATTGCTCTGAGTTAGGTGCTTTACATGTGTTACCTCATTTTACAATAGTCCCATTGTACAACTTAGGACACAACATCTAGAAAGGGTGATTATTAAAATCCAAGATTAACAAGCCATAAAGTTAAAGTATGTATATCTTCTTGTCTTAATGACTGCAATAAAGTTAACTTGCTTTATATTCTATCTTTGCAGATATGACTCTATAACTGACTGTTCCAGAAATGATATGAAGAGGAAATTTGCACTGACAATGGAATTTGTTGAAGAATACTTGAAAGAAGTTGTAAATCAGCCCTTCCCTTTTGGAGATAAAGAAAAAAACAAACTGACATTTGAGGTATTATGAGAAACAATTCATTATGAAGTTATTCAATTTTTCCTGTAAAAAATTAGATACATTGAGCATAAAGATTTCCCCCCATTTAGGATGCTTTGGTAATCAGGCAGATTATTTCATGAAGGTATGATTCTCTCTGCCATTCATTAAAAATATATTTGATGCATTAATTATACCTGATGTCCAATACAAAATATTTTATTTATGATTAGCTACTGTTTTTCTTGATTTTTTTTTGTTTCATTCCATTAATGATCAAAGACAGTTTTGCATAATTGTGATATGTTTGGATATTTTTTTTTTCCTTATCCACAGAGGTGGTGTTTTTAGCCTCATTAAACTGAATTGAAATAACCTCTAGTTATAATATCATCTTGGAGATACAGTGACAAAACTATAGAGAAGATGCTCTTACTTGTTACCTGATGTATTTGCTATTTACAGGTGTATAAAAAATTACTACTGAGTCTTAGCAGCTCAAAGTAATAAACATTTAGAATGACAACATTTAGTTTCTATGGGTGAGGAATCTGGGGGTGCTTAGCTGTGGGGTTCTGGCGCAGGGTCTCTCATGAGATTATAATCAAGATATTGACTGGGGTGGCAGTCACCGGGGCTTCTAAGCTCACCCATGTGATTGTTGGTAGCCAGATTTTCTTATTGGATGTTGAGTAGGTAGCCTTTTCACAGGCTGCTTATGTCCTTATGGCATGGTGCCTGGATTTCCCTGTTAGAGAGAGAGAGAGAGAGAGAGAGAGAGAGAGAGAGAGAGAGAGAGAGAGAGAGAGAGAGAGAGAGAACGAGTGCGCATGCAAATGCAAGTGAGTGCCCAACATGGAAATTGCAATCATTTATGACCTAATACTATGACCTAATATTGGAAATACATGCCATCACTTCCCCTGCATTTGTTTGTCACACAGATTAACCCTGATGCAATATAGAAGGTGAATGCATTGGGGACTGTCTTGGAAGCTGGCTTTCATACCTGTCATATAGTATCCAGAAGGTCACAAGGCAGCATAGGGAACCTATAATTCTGGACAAATTAATAAATAATAATCATTAAAGTGATTCATTAATGTAACCATTTAGTAAGTGATAGCCTACTGACTTAAATAATTTAATATTTAAGAGGTAAATAATCCTAATGTAAACTTATTTAACAATCATTAACATCTAAAATTTTGTCTCCTTGTTTCCTTGGTGGGACTTTTTTATTTTTTTTATTTTTTAAGATCTTTATTGATTTCAGAGAGGAAGGGAGAGGGAGAGAAATAGAAACATCAATGATGAGAGACGGTGGGGCTTTGATGAGATTGATGAATTTGTCTTATTTGGATTTAATTCTAAACTTAAATAAATCAGAATTAGTGGTTGCTTTTGCAATTATTTAAATTCCTAGTTATTAGAGAATTAGAATGTTTGAAATAACTGCTCTAATTTAGATAATAAAATGTCAATGTTAATTTTAGTTTCTAATGTTTGTCTTTTCTTTCCCTTCCTTTTGTTTTCTTTTATTTGTACCCTACCTCTCTTTTTTATTAAGGTGGTCCACTTGGCTCGGAATCTGATTTACTTTGGATTTTATAGTTTCAGTGAATTATTAAGGCTCACAAGAACACTTCTGGCTATCCTAGACATTGTACAAGTCCCCATGTCATCGTATTTTGAAAGATTAAGCAAATTTCAAGATGGAGGTAAGAATTTTTGAGAAAAAGTTATATTCCTTTTGGTCTTGTTTGGAGGTGAGACATAGAACAAATATGCAGAGAAGTAGTTGTTAATGTGTACTTACTAATATATGTGAACAAGTGAAAAGTAATCCCATGGTAAAACAGTGATAATAGTCTGGATTTACAAATATATTATAATGCACAAAATTTGTGTAAAGGGCTTGGCTCTCGCAGTCCCAGCTTCATTCAGAAGGTCATCCAGAAGGATGTCTAAAAGGCCGTTTGGCTGTTTGGTCTAATTAGCATATTAGCTCTTTATTATTTAGGATATTTGAAGAGAGTAGTAAGGGCAAGAGAGAGGCACTTTGAAAACAAATGAAGCAAAAAGAGAAGGAAATATACCTTTTTTGGGGGGTATAATGCTTTTACAATCTCCAGTTTATTTTAAAAGAACCCATTCTTAAAAAGTTAGAAGTTGATCTTGACTTTTAGTCTCAGTAGTTATAGTTTGCTTTCAGAGTTTGTCTATAAAGAAAGTATTTTCTTCCACTGAATATTTGCTACCTTTCTTTTAAAATCCTCGCCTAATGATATGTTTTTATTGATTTTAGAGGGGAAAGGAGAGAGAAAAATATCTATGTTAGAGATAAATATTGATCGGTTGCCTACTGTACATGCCCCAACTTGGAATCAAACCCATAATCTAGATATGTGCCCTGTGGGTAACCCACTGCCTTTTTGGTGTATGCTGGATGTTCTAACCAACCAAGTCATCCTACCAGGGCAAAATTTTCTATCTTATATGTATCTTCCATTGTTCTGTCTATGCCTGCCCTCTAGGACACATTTTTACTCTTTTAAATATTTTATAATTATCATATGCTCTTATGAACTTCATTTACCTCTGGATATCTTAACTATTCTTTTAGCTGCCTGAAAACCATTAATTAATTTATTCAGTAAAAACGTATTGAATAACTTGCATGCCAGACACTGTTCAAGTCGCTGAGACTAAGCAATGAACAAGATAAACCAAGTCCTTATCCACAGGGAGGATAGACAGTAATAAATAAATGACAGACTTCACCCCTTGTTTGCCTTTTTGAGGGAGAGGATCAGACAATAAACAAATGAATATACCCTGTAACATCAGGTCTAATGTTATGAAGATAAACAAAATAGGACAATATGGAGACTCTTGAAGTAAGGGAGAGCAATTCTTTTTAGATAGAGTGAATTAAACAACTTCTCAAATGCTTGTGCAGATACCTATGTACAGTAAGGAAGAAAGTCCTGAGGCAGAGTAAGCTTGGTCCATGTGAGGAGCAGCAGTAAGCTAGTTTGGCTGAGGTAAGGTGAGAGGAGGGGAGAATAGTAGGAGAGGATGTTGAAGAAGCTCAGATTGTAGAACCTCACAGACTTGAATTTTGTTATGAGTTTGATGGGTAACCTTTGGAGAAGAGGTTGAGAAGGGATGGATATAACCTGATAACTTTAGCTGCGGAATGGAGAATAGAAAAGGTCTATGTGGGAATAGTGTTAGAAAGACCATAGGTTGGAGGCTGTTGGGGAATTGGATGATGGTTTAATAGGATTGTGGTGGTAGAGGTGCTGAGAAGTGGATAAATTTGGAATTTTAGTCTTTATTGATAGGACTTGGAGATGGAATGGGAAAGAAAGAGGAAAAGGAAGGATTATGCCCAAGTTTTGATTAGCAGAGGGTGAATGTGGTACTCCTTAATGATGTGAGAAAGACTAGTGGATGAATGGGGTTGGAGGGGAAATCAGGATTTCTTTTTGGGCATTTTAGGTTCGAAATGCCTATTGGCATTTAAGTAGAGGTGCTACATTGACAGTTGGATATATGAATGAAATTTAGGGTAATGTTAGGCTAGGAAATATAAATGTGAGAATCAATGCATAGAAGACATTTGAGAGAGCAGACTGAAGAAGGCCATGTAGGGAGGGATTTCTGGTTGGGAAGAAATGTGGACTAAGGATTGTATCCTGGGATACTCCAACACTGACACATGAGATAGAGCAGGAGCCAGCCAGAGACTGGGACAGAGTTGCTGATGGATCAAGAGGAACACCAGGAGAATGTGTTGTGTTGGAAGCCAAAAGAAAAGTAACGCTAGATAATTTAAATAGTTTGTCGACTTATAGAAATATAGTTTCTTGCTAGCTAGTAATCATTGAGCACTTTGTGTGCTAAGTGATTGTACTTGGATTATCTCCCATGTGGTTTGACTTGTGCTTAACTATGACACACAGTATTTTACTTCATTATTAAAATATGGAATGCCATAGTTTTACTCCAGTATTAAAAATTATTCATGATAGTTTTTATAATTATAATTCTCTAGAAATAATTCTTGTTTTGCCTATAGAAATACCCATATGTGTACTCAACTGGTTTCTCCCTTTGAGACTGGTATTAGTATGTCATGTAGAGTATCATCTCTTCATTTGAAGAAATTCATTTTCCTAATTTGTGGAAGGGGGTTTGTGGATTTTGACTATACTTTTGGAATCTATATGTGCTTATCCACCAATAGAGTAGTAAATATATATGAAATGTTTTATGCTAGTTTTGTTGTATTGAAATTAATTTGAATTTAAGGACCATCGATTTTTTAAATTTATCTTTATTATTGAAAATATTACAAATGTTTTAAGATCATTGTTATATTACTTTTTAAGATCACTTCTCTTTATATCTGCAAACTGGAGGGTAAATTACTTCTTTTATACATTCCTTTGATTGGATACATTGTGAGAAAATATAGTTTGTTGTTAAGCATGATTTGATAAAAATTATAATTATATCTCAGATGACACACCTGAAAGAAGCTTTCTTCATTTTTTCTCAAGTAGTTGTTTTTGCTGTTCTAACATCAAATGCTTATTTAGTATCATTAACTTGCATACACTTGGAAGGACAATGCTTTTTTAGTTAAACATTCTAATCTAGATTTCTTTGGAGCATTTATATTATACTTGCAAGACAAAAAATAAAGTACTGTCTTTTTTGTCATATTGTCTTGAGGTGCATTTGAAAAAATTTCTATGTGGCTTTATTTTTACACTACATAGAATAGGAAAGAATGCACTCACAGGGAAATATTATTTGGTCATAAAGTTGCCAATAGTGCAAATGTATTAAGTTATGCATGGATTTCGGATTGTTTAGTAAAAAGTTTCCTTTTCAAGTACCATATAGACAAGCATATTCAGCGAGATCCCTTAGTCAGTAAACTGCAGTCCTAATAATGAACTTGCAAGAAAGAAGTCTTCCTGTCCTTTGCACCACTTGATCATTTATTTACCTGTTGAGATTCTAATTTAGAAAACTGTTGTTGAGCTTAGAATTTTGGTTTATAAATTTTAAAGTTAACACTTATGTAGGGGATCAGTCTTTTAATATATTTTTGAGTAAACAAACTACAGAGGTTAAAATAAAATAAAAAGGGGACAAAGTAACATTCTGTGCTCCTCGATATGTTGCACACAACATCACTGATCTCACATTCCTGACAAAAATTCATAATCTCCAACTAATCATCAGGAATTATCAGAGCAGTATAAATTGTGGGATAGTTAGTAGAAAAACTTGCTTGAACTAAAAACAATGTCAGTGTCATGAAAGATAAAGGCTGAGAAATTATTTCCGATTCAAGGAGAATAAAGAGACAAGACAACAAAATACAATATGTAATTGTGGATTTGGAAAAATATTATCTAAGGAAAGATTATTGGCACAATTGGTTGCATTTCAGTATGTATTGTATATTAGGTTGTAGTATTGTATCAGTTAGATTTTCTGAATCTTAATAGTAGTGTGGTTATGTAAGAGAATGTACTTGTTTTTAGCAAATACATGCTCAAGAATTAAAGGTTAAAAAGTCACTATGTCTGCAACTAACTTCACATATTGCAGGAAAAATATTATAATATGCACACACACACATGAGAGAGAGAGAGAGACCAAGGGAGGATATAAATGTGTCAGAATTTGTGATTCTGACAATTCTGGGCAGAGGGCATTATAGGAATTCTTTGTACAATTCTTGCAGCTCTTCCCATAAATTTGAAAGTATTTCAAAGCAGAAAAGTTCATAAATTAAATAATTAACCAGAAAGACAATGATTTATTATACGTAAGCCAACACTTCAACATTAAAGCATTATATCATAGCTCTACTAGAAGGTGTGTTATTATAGCTGAGTTTTGTTAGACTATAAATTCCTAACAAAAGGTCTATTAGACTCCATAAATTCTTAACAAAAGAAGCAAGAGAGAACACATTTCTGGAATCTGCAGATGTGGAGACAGGATCGTCAGTCCTGGGAAAAATTCTTATAGGGCAGGGTGAGACAGAGATTGATGCCAGAGAGGAAATCCTGGATTATGGAAAGTACCTAAGGAAAAAAGAACTTTTAAAGGACAGCTCATAGGGCCATATACCCAAGGTGGTGTAATCTTGGCTCTTTTATATTCAAACTAGAAGCCTGGTGCATGACAATTCATGCACTTGGAGGGTGTGTGAGGGGAAATTCCTCAGCCTGGCCTGCACCCTCTCACAGTCCAGGACCCCTCAGGGGATATCCACCTTCTGACATAGGCCCGCTCTCCAGGGGACTGTCCTTAGCTGTCAGTCAGACATCTGTCTGGCAGCCTGTGAGCACTCCCACCGCGGCTGCACTTGCAGCCATCAGCCTGCATCAAGCGTTGGCCGCCTGGTGGTCAGTGCATGTCATAGCAATGGGTCGTTCCTGGTTGTTTGGCCGTTAAGGTCAATTTGCATATTACCTTTTTATTATATAGTATGATCTGGGTTTTATTTTCCTACTTTAGTGAAACATTGTTTTCAATTGGGATTCATGTTGCAAAGCACAAGATTTTAAAAAATAAGTTTTATAACCATTTTTGCTAGACCAACCAGTTCCTTCAAGCAGTGATAATACTTTTCCTTTCTCCTACTGGAAATCTGTATTCTTCTGATCCACTTATCTCTTACTAA